ACCAGAGTATATATGAGATTATCATGAGTTTTTTTGAGAAGCCTTTTCATATTTAGGAGGGTTTGTGTTTGATGGGTATCAATCTGCAGCTTAATTGATGTCAAGCACTGTTCATATTAGGAAAAAATATCAGCTCATATATCTAGGAACAGTGAGCCAAAAGAGTTAAGAGACACATTTAGACAACCCGCTGTTTGATGTCCTCCAGCATGTTTTCATATCTGATGGTTGATTGAGATGCATCACTTATAGCTGACCGATAATAATATACTTTGACTAAAGGAGATGAAACAAAGCCATCCAGCTGGACATTGCTTTCCACTGAATAAACCTTTCAGATCACGGGAGACAAAAAGGGAAATCTTAGAACATTGTTTGGAAAGACCAACTGAATGTAAGAACATTAGTACGAATTTAACCATGAGAAAGATATTTCTGCCTTAGCCTTCCAATAAATTATTAGTTTGGTACCATAAGCTTGGGCCGAAAATACCATAACAAAAAAGATCCAAGCATTATCAGAGTATTATTTCTACTTTGGTATCACCCAAAACATAGGGCTCAATATAAATAAGCCGGCATCAATCATTACTAGGAAAGATATCTTGCATACTTAAATACCAAAAATGCAAATTAGAATTTTCACTTCTAAGGTAGAGAAATGTGCATTAAGTTCATCTGCCAACAGCTAATTTAATAGGGAATTTCAGAACAAGCATACCTTGGCATTGAGCAAATTTTCAAGGCTATTTATGCTTATCGATAAATTCTCTGATTGAAAAGACCCTGAAAAGTAGGTAGTGCTGTCAAAAGGTGGACCATGTATAGAACGAAATGATCAAAAGAAGCAGGTATTATCAAGATCACGACAAACCTCAAACCCGAAAGAGAAAGAACAAAAGGAACTCAATGCAGAAGCTAATTCTGTCGACTATTATTATTTCTATGGGAATGATTTAGACCCTCTCATAATAAAATCTTTGGACAGTAATGGGCTAGTAATCCGGAGTCAACATTAGAAAAATGGGGCCTACCTTTGCCAACAACTGGAGATGCAGTCATTCCAAATATTCGAGGCCGTTGTAAACTTTCTGATTTATAGAAAACCTGCATTGTAACGAAGTGGAGCAACTAAAAGATTATTATATGTCAATAACGTTTCAGGCCGGATATACCAATAATGTGAAGGAAGATACCTTCATGATTTCCGCATAAGGATGGTTGCTTTGTTGTTGAGCATGGTGACACTCATCAAATATTAGAAGGGAGATACACTCCATCCTAATGAAACAGTGCTGCAAGTTATGCAGAAGTATTTGTGGAGTCATAACAAGAACCTGCAGGAAAATTCAGGCCCAAGTACAAAACAGTTGAAAGATGATCGCATGCAATAAAGTGATGGTTCCCGCGTAAATGTAAAATGGAAATAACAATCAACTTAAATGAGACTTATAGGCTAAAAATAGAATGAGAAAACAGGAAATCACCTCATTCTCTGAAATCTCTCTCTCCCACTCAGAGTGGCTCTTCACAATCCTCTTGCCTCCACAATGTATTGCAACTTTGAAGTTGACAGAGTCTGCTATGACCTTAGCTTGCTGTAAACAACAAAAAAAAAGTCAAGAGAGTTAGAACTTGAAGAAAGAAACTAATCAATCCGCAATAATCAGCTCCATCAAACACCGCCGTATAATCAAAGATGAATAGCCTCAGACCTGTTCAACCAAAGCCACGGTGGGAGCAAGAAAAATACAAACACTTTTCTTGGGACTAAGAATCAAATGACCGAGCTCATATATAACCATCACAGCAATGTGAGTCTTCCCACAACCTGTACCCAAATATACAATAATGTTCTCCTCCAGTGCTTTCTTACACAGCTCCACCTGATACCTTCATACAGCAAAGAAAATCATTAAACCTCCTCACAAAGAATTTCACCACAATCAACACACAAAAAACCTAGTCCGATCTTTCCCTAAAGACAATCCGATCACCATTTTTTCCGGAAAAAGCAAATTAACAATTACTCAGCTATAAACTTGCAGCTGAAAACAGATACAACGATAAAACACCATCCGTACAAAATCGTAAGCAAGCAAAACTGAAGAAAATGCAAGATGTTCGCAAAGACGGAAAAAAATCAAACCTCCTGGCGATTTTTCTAGGGTCTTTCTCCATTTTCGGTGAAGGATCATCGGTACCAGCGGCGGAGAACAAAGAAGACGAAGAAGAAGAAAACGAAGAAAAAGAGGAAGAAGAAGAGAGGTGAATATCGGAGGAAACATCGGCGTCACAGTCGAGAGAGCGAAAATCGTCGGCGATTTCACCGTACGGCATGGTCAAAGCAGGAAGAAACTTGTGAGTGGCACTAGTGAGAAGAATTGGGTCCTTTTGCTGCTTTTTAGCTCTCTTTTTTTTGTTTTTGTTATTTTCTTCTTTACCTTTTTTTTCTCTGTCTCGCTTTCCCAAAATCTTCGAAGGAATGGTCAAGCTCAAGTCAACTTCTTCACGCATCATTTTTCACCGAGATCACACGTCTCTCTCTCTCTCTCTTCTATTACAGCGTTATTATTGGGATTTCTTTCCAATAAATTGATTTATCAGCTAATCAATACAATTAAAACTCTTTTCAAGGGTGTGTTTTGGATTGAGTGTGTGAAATTCTGAAGCAAAAATTATGTTTTTTTCAATCATTGATTCTGAAATCTTTTGGGGAGATGTTGAGTTTATGTTGATTGTTGTTAAAAGCTAGGTTTTTTATATTACATCTTTTGGTAAACTTTAAGAGTATTGATGTGTCAAGATATAGATGAACACCTTATCTCTTCGAAATCTCAAATCGCGATTCCGTGGCCGTTAAGTTATCCTCTCTCCGTTTGACTATAAGTGTCGTTTTAACTTTTAACATTTTTACAGAAATTATGAAAACATATTAAAATTTCTATTATACCCTTAAAAATTTAGGTGACTCCTGATTTTTATGAGGTTAAATTAGGAATTTAATGTTAAATTTTAAAAATCTAAAACCCGCGAATTTTTGAAATGTATGTATACACTTAAACGGCATTTAATTTGAAGTGGATAGAGCATAAACTTTTTGCGACATTTTTAACATGAGCTTTCGATTTGTTAAAGATTGAAGAAGAAGATTGAATCACCTTGTTGCAAGTCTTTTGCCTAGAAAAGGTTTACCATATGCGAAATTGCAAAAGTTGAGAAACTCTTTTTGGATGTAATTTTAAAAGGTTAACACAAACTTAAGTATTTATTTTAGTCATTTTTAAATATGTGTGGTGATACAGCGACGACAACTATTATACAACATTACATTGATTCATTACATACAACATTACTATTAAAAAGTAAAAACAACTAAACTACATATTTTGTCAAATATTATACAACATTACATTGATTCAATTTGATACATTTCCAAATTTTTATAGATTTACCTTCTATAAATTGGATTTCTAAATAAATTGGCCACACTTGAGATTTGTATTTATGTATCTTTAGCTACAAAATTATGGGAAAAGAACAAGTGAACAAATAATGTATCTCGATTGCCATTCCATCAAAATCTAGGTTCGAACCTTGAACTCCCCCCGTGTGAGAGCTATATGGTCAGTGTACCACTTTCCTTCTTGTGGGCATGTGGTGTTGGGCTACTGGGCAGCCCGTTGTGACTTAGTTCAATTAACAATGAAAAAGAATTTTTGTTAAAATATGTTTCTTGTAGATTAAAATTATTAATTTAATTAAATTTTGATTTTGTATGTTTAAGCCTGAAAGAGTGTCGGTTAGCGAAACTTAAACTCCATTTTAAAAAAAAATTTACATCCTATTTTGCAAGAAATCAAAACACAAAAGGAGACAAATTCTTATATTGAAGAATAAGGTCCAATGGAGGTAATTCAAAGGTGATTGAGGTAATCTTCTAGAGTAAGCCAAACCGAAAAAGTTGATGTGTTTGTTGCTAGTTTAGTTTCTATTTTATTACAATAACCAAATAAAATTGTTCAGTACTTTAGCTAATCTCTACTTTCAGAATTTCAACGTGTGATGTTTTGGTTTTCAGTCGTTCGACCACATGTGATGTTTTGATCATCGCTGGTTCGACACGTTATTTACTACCATAGTAATAATCGGATAAAGCTTAATCTACACCCTATTCATATGACAAATTAGTCAACCCTAATTAATATCATTCATCGACCGAGTGCAAATCTTGCATTAAAAAAAAATATAAGAGATTATTAACAAGATATAGTATACATATACCAGTGAGTAGTTATATAAACTATACCGACTGAATAACATTGGAAACGTGACTTTTTAAAAACTGAATAGACATCTTCTTAATTCTCATCAAGCTTTATAAAACCGTACAACATTGGAAACGTTGGCTAGCACCGATGTATATCAACACTTCAACGACCATGCAAAAGAAAATTATAATTATTTGCTTTTGTCTGGCTAGTTATATGTATACATGATAAATCTCTTTCTCTTGATTGTCAATGCATGCACTTGTATTAAAGATTTCGTGTCTTATAGGAAACATTAATTCATTTATCTCTTTGCTTTAAAAAAAAAAGTTTATTAACTCTATATACTGTCTATTGGTATTCAAATTCATGTATGTGTTTAAGTTTAGTTTGTTAATTATACAAAACATCGATTATACATGAATTAATTAATTGTGTATATTTAAAATCTATGTACTCAAATTCCTGTATTAATACATAATTCATCAATTCAATTAGATTAATCTTCAGTTCTTATGGAATAGTAAGATTCAGTTAAACTAAAGAAAATAAATAAATATAACTAGTTAATAAGGAAAACACCAAATTTATATATAGATCGACGGTTAAGATCACGCCAAGAACCAATAATAAAAGTATTTTACTATTTTTTTGATACCAATAAGACTGAAAATAGATCTCAGATAGTCAGATGTATCTATATAAATAGATCCTACATTTTGCAACGAAACAATAAAAGAAACAACAACTTTGGTTCCTTTTTCTTCTTCAGACAAGTAAGATCTTTTTAGATTTCTATATACACACACATATTTTGCAGACAAAAGTTTGATCATGCTTTATTCACCTAAGAAGCTGTTCTTGTTCTTCCTCTCGTGCATTGTGATGTTAGTCAACTACAACAACAGTGGCTTCGCAACCGCAGCAAATAGCATCGGCTTGAACTACGGCCTCCTCGGAGATAACCTCCCCTCTCCGTCCAATGTAATCAACCTTTACAAGTCCATAGGCGTTACTAAAATCCGAATCTTCGACCCGAACACTGAGGTTCTCAACTCCTTACGCGGTCACCGTGATATTGAAGTCACTGTTGGCGTTAAGGACCAAGACTTGGCTGCTCTTGCAGCAAGCGAAGAAGCTGTTAAGGGCTGGTTTGCGGCTAACATCGAGTCTTACTTAGCTGACGTCAACATCGCATTTATTACGGTCGGTAACGAAGTCATCCCGGGACCAATCGGTCCTCAAGTTCTTCCAGTCATGCAGTCTCTCACCAACCTCGTCAAGTCGAGAAATCTCCCTATCTTGATAAGCACCGTGGTGGCTATGTCGAACCTCGAGCAGTCGTACCCACCTTCCGCGGGAATGTTCACCTCCCAGGCGCGGGAACAACTTGTCCCCGTACTGAAACTATTGTCACAAACAAGTACACCGATCCTTGTCAACATATACCCTTACTTCGCTTATGCGTCCGACCCAGCCAACATCCCTCTCGACTATGCCACCTTCAACACTGAAGCCATCGTGGTCCAAGATGGACCATTGGGTTATTCAAACATGTTTGATGCAATCTTTGATGCGTTCGTGTGGGCAATGGAGAAGGAAGGTGTTAAAGATTTACCAATGGTGGTGTCCGAGACCGGATGGCCATCCGCGGGGAATGGGAACTTTACCACGCCGGATATCGCGTCTACCTACAACAGAAATTTTGTGAAGCATATAGCAAGCGGAAAAGGAACGCCTAAAAGGCCTAACAAGGGCATTGATGGATTTCTGTTTGCAACGTTCAATGAAAATCAAAAGCCGGCCGGAACTGAACAAAATTTTGGGTTGTACAATCCAAGTGATATGAAGCCAATCTACAAGCTATTTTAAGTGTGAAAGTTGCTTAGACTTTCCCAATTCACTAATAATAATGATATACTAGCTGTTAGTGAATTAGTAAAAGGTTAACAATGATACACATGTTATAAGCAACTGATGTCTACGAGATGATGAGATCTCGTAGGGGAACTTAGTTGACTTTTGTAATAAATCTGATTATCTGAATGCAGTAATTTAAAAACCAATTTCCCTGGTTCATTAAACGAAACCGAACGTACTCTGTTTCTTCATATATCTAACACAAGAGTGTGCCATATGCTTCGCATCCGTCTTGTATATGCATTTTGTTTTGTATAGGAATGCATGTCCATAATAATTTTGTATTATGCACATCAGTGTCCCAAATTGATTCAAAAATCAAAGGGTTTGTGTTAGTAGTAAATAAATAAAACAAAGTGCGTTTGTGTTTGCTGTGTTTTATAAAAACTTACCATTAACACATGAATACCCTAGACCCTAGTCCCCTAGTAGGCTAGCACCGTTAGGGCGTTATATATATATTTTTCATCCGTGGTTATATATATCTATATCAACGTACACTTCAAACATCTTAAAAGAAAAGATTAATTGTTTGCTTAGTAGCTTTGTCTAGTTTTCTACTGATACATCTCTAAGTAAAATAATTGAATATTATTGGTTTAGAATTAAAATAAATTGTTAATCACAGAAATGATGCGTTTATAATCAAATTTTAATTTGTTTTCTTAATATGTGTGAAAAGTTTAAAATTTAGATTAATTAGAAACATAAAGAGTAATTTGTGCACTTGTATTAAAATTAATGTATCAATTTAATAATCTACGTATATTGGTACTTGGTAGTCAAATTTATGTATGTTTGAGTTTAGTTTGTTAATTATACAAAACATCGATTAAACATGAATTTATTACTTAATAATGTATAAAATTTATGCATCAATTTACTTTACTGTAGTGATTTTTGAACTGAAATTCATGTACTTTTTTTTTGCCTAGAAACAACGAAAAAAGGTACTTTTTGGATATGTTTCTTCTAGACAACAGAAATGGATTGGAATAGTAAGATTCAGTTAAACAAAAGAATAGTAAATAAAATATAACTAGTTAAAAAAGAAAACACCAAATTTGTAAATAGATCGAGGGCTAAGATTATACCAAGAAGAACCAAAATAAAATAATTTACTATTTTATTGATACCAATATGACTGGAAATAGATCTAAGATTGTACCTATATATACAAACACATATGCAACCAATATTTTGCAACGAAACATAATAACGAAAACAAGTTTGGTTCCCTCTTCTTCTTCAGAGAAGTACGATCTTAATATATTTTTATACACATATTTATAGAAAAAAGTTTCATCATGCTCTATTCGTCTAAGAAGTTGTTCTTCTTCTCGTGCATTGTGCTGATTGTCAACTACAACAACAATGTCTTCGTAACCGCAGCAAATAGCATTGGCTTGAACTACGGCCTCCTCGGAGATAACCTCCCGTCTCCATCCAATGTTATCAACCTTTACAAGTCCATAGACATTACTAAAATCCGAATCTTCGACCCGAACACTGAAGTTCTTAACGCTTTACGCGGCCACCGTGATATTGCAGTCACTGTAGGCGTTAGGGACCAGGACTTGGCTGCTCTTGCAGCTAGCGAAGAAGCTGTTAAAGGCTGGTTTGCAACCAACATCGAGCCTTACTTATCCGACGTCAACATCGCGTTCATTACTGTTGGTAATGAAGTCATCCCCGGACCAATTGGTTCTCAAGTGCTTCCTGTCATGCAGTCTCTCACAAACCTCGTCAAGTCAAGGAATCTTCCAATCTCGATAAGCACTGTGGTGGCAATGTGGAATCTCGAGCAATCGTACCCACCTTCCGCAGGAATGTTCACGTCTCAAGCACGTGAACAACTTGTTCCCGTGCTGAAACTATTGTCTCAAACAAATACGCCTATTCTCGTAAATATATACCCTTACTTCCCTTACGCGTCCGACCCATCGAGCATTCCTCTCGACTATGCCACCTTCAACACTGAGGCCATCGTGGTCCAAGATGGACCATTGGGCTATTCAAACATGTTTGATTCAATATTTGACGCGTTTGTGTGGGCAATGGAGAAGGAAGGCGTTAAGGATTTACCAATGGTGCATGGTGTCCGAGACCGGATGGCCATCTGCGGGGAATGGAAACTTTACCACGCCTGATATCGCAGGTACCTACAACAGAAATTTTGTGAAACATATAGCAAGCGGAAAAGGGACGCCTAAGAAGCCTAACAAGAGCATCGACGGGTTTCTGTTTGCAACATTCAATGAAAATCAGAAGCCGGCAGGGACTGAACAAAATTTTGGGTTGTACAATCCAAGTGATATGAAGCCCATCTACAAACTATTTTAAGTGTGAAAGTTTTTTAGACTTTCCCGATTCATCAACAATAATGTTACACTAGTTGTTAGTGATTAAAGTAAAACTAATTAACATGCTAAGCAACTGGTGTCTATGAGATGAGATCTCGTAGCAGAACTTAGTTGACTTTTGTAATAAATCTGAATGTAGTAATATAAAAACCAATTTCTATGGTTTAGTATACTCTGTTTCTTCATCTACTACTACAAGAGTATGTTTTGTGTATGCATTTTCAAAACAATTTCTTTTTATATTATGCAAATCAGTGTTATATCAAAATAAGAAAATCAGTGTCCCATAATGATTCAACAATTCAAGGTTTTATGTTAGTATAAAATAATAAGTTAAAACTCTTCTTAACTTTTTGGAAATTCTAACATTCTTAACATTTCTGATAAAAAAAGATAGTTGAAGAAATGAAAAATGAAAAGGTTTCTCTTATGATTAAGACAGATGTTTTGATTCGTTAATATCCCTTTTACTAGATCATGACCCGTGCTATACAGCACGGGATTTAATATTTTTCATGAATTAAATTGTATATTTTGTTCGAAGAAATAAGAAATAATATAGTATAATAGTATAATATAAAAAGGAATATATCATAATATTTTATATTTATTACTATTTAGATATAATGTTATATATTTTATTTGACTAAAGAAGGAGAAAATATTGTATTTTAGAGTTTAATATATTTAGCAGCATTATATTTGTATTTTTTATATGAGATTAACAATTTCTTTGGTTCAATTAGGTATTGATAATTTTATTGTATGATTGTGAACAAACAAAAAAATAGTTGTATTGGGTCTAAGTTTTTTAATGGATTATATTGGGTTTGTGGGCCCAGTTTTATGGTTTTAAAAAAGGAAAAAAACGGTTTAACATACCTTTGGAATTTGCTGATGTGTTCGTTTTTGATGTCTACTTGAATTTTGTTACCCTGTAATTAAAATAAGATGACTTAAAACTTACGGCAAATATATTACAAAGAGAATTGTATAAAATTTCAATGGTACTTACAGTCTCATCTGTCAAAATCATTTCCAAAGACATGCCAGAACTTTTTGTAAAATAAATCCACGAATGAAGTATACTAACTTGAATACACCAAAAAGTTTTGACAGGCTTCGTAATAGGAGTGTAGCGACTAACCATAGTCATTTCTGCTGTATTTTTAATTGTAGGATATGAGAATGGTACTGAGATGATTTCTGTGAGAAAGGTACGTCAAACCTAAATAGATATTTATAGTTGTAGATTGTTTGTGATAATTAGGAGATTCAGAAATATATTAATTAGCATAAAATAGTTAGATAATATTTTAGAAAGGTATATTCTAGATTATTTCGAATATAGGATCAAAATTATATAACTGAGAGATTTGACAATCTTTATAAAAGATTTTAAGGAAACTGAATAGCTGATTATATTGATGCGTGATTAAGCTAAACAAAAAACGTAAAACTAAACAAAAAAACGATCTAGACTATAACAACTATTATAACTTATTTTTTTTATAAAGGGTTTTAAGGAAATTGAATATATTCTCAAAGATTTTAGGGAAACTGAATATATTCTCAAAGATTACGAATTGCTTGAATACGAATTTATATCTAAACAAAATATAACAACCTAATATCTTTAAGATCTTTAAACCCGTTTTTCGTTATTTGACCCGTTTTTTAATTAATTTGTTAATGTTAGTGACATGGAATTAAAATGATTATGATAAGAGATCTCTAATGGCATATATTATAATTTCTTACAAAATTAACGTTACGACTTATCGGATGTACCTCCCAAATAATAGTATAGGATATAACATTTTGAATAACATTTTCAATAACATTTTCGAACTATATGAGTATTATAATTCAAAATAACATTTTTTATAAATTGGATTGATATAAAATGTTTTCAATGATATATCATTTTCGTTAACATTTTCAATAACATTTTTTATAAAATGTTCGAGTAATGGATTACTATATAACATTTTGAATAACATTTCCGAATAATATATTAGTATATTAGTATAGGATTTTTACTAATTATGTTACATTTTCGAATTGATTAGTATATAACATTCTCGAATTATATTAATTATGTATTATATAAACAAAATCTTTTAATATCTTTAAATCCGTTTGACCCGTTAATATATATTAGTGAAATGGAATAAAATGATTATAATTAGAGATCTCTAATGGCATATATTGTAATTTCTTACAAAATCTAAGTTATGACTCTTAGGATGTACTTCCCAAATATTAGTATAGGATTTTAATCCCACTTATTCCATTGAACTATATATCACTCCACTAGTCAGGCAAAATATTTTCCATTACATACAAAAAAAATGATCATGAATTTATAAATGTTGGTTGTTGGTTTTTTAACATTAAAACCAAAAAAAATGATCATGAATAACAATAATAAGTTTCTGAAATGAATGAACGATAAGATTTGAGAGCAAGTCTGTCTCTGACCCGTCTTAATCCGATTTTCTTAGATGGTGTTATTCAATGATGGATTTTAATAGAATTGAAATCCAACACTAGTCCAGTGTTATTAACCTAATGATTCTAAATCTAACTCTAATAGATTTTAAAGTTTGGTGTTATTCAACTAAGATTTAAAATGCTTCATTAAAATCCAGTGTTATTCAAAACTAAAAGACTTGTAAAATCTTTGTATATCAAATCATTTGAAATGAAACATCTTTGGATTTCATGAGTAAATTATTAGAATCATAATCCAAGATATACTGCAAAGATTTTGAACTCCACACAAACAGATTGTTAAAAACAATATCAGAAATCAAATCTAAACCTTTAAGAATTGACTTTAACTCCATGAATGAATAACACCCCCTTAGTCAATTTTTTGAATTCGTCAATCATTCTTCTTCTTCTTCCTCTGATTCCCCCAGAAAAACCCTAGCTCCATCTCCCATTTCCCCCCAAATCCCACGACCAATTTATGCTCGGGGGAGAATAATCAAAGGTCAATCTTCAAGGGAATCGAATCCTCGCATAGCCACAATCTCGATCGATCTCAATTTCTTCTGTGGAGGCTGAGAAAAATGTCATCGGAGATTGAGGTGGTGGAAGAAATCCAATCGAGTCCCAAGGAGAATGGGGAATCGAGTTCTAAAGGGATTGAAGAAGAGAGCTTGAAGAACGATGTGTATACTGCTGCCGCTTATGGTGATTTGGAGAAGCTTCATAGGTTGGTTGAGTTAGAAGGTTCCTCTGTTTCCGAGCCTGATGGTCTTGGCTACTATGCTCTTCAGTGGTCTGCCTTGAACAACCGCGTCGCCGTTGCCCAGTACCTTATCGAGGTTACATCGCCCAATCCTTTTTTCTTTCTCCAAACTGGGTTTTGTGTGATTTAGCGAATTGTTTAACGAATTGATTGTTGATTGGTCTGGATGCTTTGTTTTACTTCGTTATGTAGCTCATTTGTTGCCATTGTGTGTATATTAGATTTGAACTGTGGTTTTGAAGTTTCTAAAATTGATATGTCTCGATTCTGGTTTTCCAGCATGGTGGAGATGTAAACGCTACAGATCATACTGGACAGACTGCCTTGCATTGGAGTGCTGTTCGTGGTGCCGTACAAGTTGCAGAACTGTTACTACAAGAGGGTGCAAGGGTAGATGCAACGGATATGTATGGCTATCAGGTTCATCTCTTCTTTTAACTACTTTGTGTCTAGCGTCAATGTTATCCGCTGGATCCTATCAAATTTCGATTCTTCTCTTGTTTAGTTCTCGATGGATGTATGTTAATCGCCAATTTAAACTGCTTATAGCCAACACATGTTGCCGCACAGTATGGCCAGACTGCTTTTCTTTGTCACGTTGTCTCAAAGTGGAATGCTGATCCTGACGTGCCAGATAATGATGGAAGAAGCCCCTTGCATTGGTATGGTTGCTTGCCTTCTTGAAACTGTTACTTATTAATTGATTTTTGGCTTCTTTTTATTTTTACCTATAAGTGTTTAGGCTTGCACGCTTATTTGGAGACTGGATACTAGGTTTCATTTGTTTCCTTTTCGTATTGATCATTTAGATTAAAATATGTCTTCGTACAATTTTGTTCTAGTTGCCAAATATACTGGGCGGATTAGGATTGTTTTTGTCAGTTATTTGCCTATGATAGTTCTGAGTTTTTTGTTATTAAGATTTGTGAATACGTATTACTGTTTTCCATCTAGAGACTAAGGTTACATAGGTTATTTTCTCTCCCGCATTTCTTACTGAGAGTTCGTAGCTGTTACATGGATTATTCTACTGCATGATTTTTAGCTTTCTTATGTTGACCTTCGGAATTTATCCTATTTTTTTAGTATCTATTCAGAAGACAGTTCTAATTTCGTCTTTATATCCTTCTTATAATTTGAGAAATTCAGGGCTGCATATAAAGGTTTTGCAGATTCCATTCGCCTACTTTTATTTCTAGATGCATATAGAGGACGACAAGACAAAGAAGGTGGTTTACAAACATAAATTTTTTTGAAATCCTCTTTGTTTATTTTGTTAAATTAACTATACGTTTCTAACATCTTCTCCATTATATTTATTCTGTTATCAGGTTGCACTCCTCTGCATTGGGCTGCCATCCGAGGTAATTTGGAGGCTTGCACTGTCTTGGTTCAGGCTGGAAAGAAAGAGGATTTGATGATTACTGACAAGACTGGGCTAACCCCTGCGCAACTTGCTGCTGAAAAGAATCACAGACAAGTTTCTTTTTTCCTTGTAGGTATCTGTTTTACTTGTTTGTTGTGTAGCAATCTGTAGTCACACTGTTTGATTTGATGCTTTCGTAGTGGTTGTACTGCTAGCAAGAAATGGTAGTTGAATCATTCTATTGGCCTAATTTGTGGCAGTTATGTGCATCGCATTTTACCTTTGCATACCTGGTGTAGTTAACTCTACTTGTAGCTGTACTATGTTAGTTTCTCCAAGTCTGTAGATTTTCTTATCCATTCAAAATGAGCAGCATTATGCTTAAATTATTGAGAAAATTGTGTTGATATTTGTCTGTATCTGTCTTATAAACGCTACTGTGCAGGGTAATGCTAGAAGCCTGCTTGAAAAGCGTTGTGATGGAAGCAGTCCCCTTGGAAGATTGTCAAAGTTGGGACTCGCTCCAGTTCTTTGGATCATGATCCTGCTGCTTCTGCTTGTATATACAAATTCTGTTGTTTTGGGTAGTTACCTTGGCCTTCTCAAATCTCCTTTGTGTACATCATAGCAAGTAACTCTTCTACGCATGCCTATAATTTTATGAACCCTTTGGCCATTGCAGCATCCAATCTGCCAAAGTTAACAACTGGGATTGGTGCGCTTGCATGGCTGGGATTTTTTCTTGCAACTGCAGGACTATTTTTGTTTTACCGCTGTAGCAGGTATATGCTCACCTTGTCCTTCCTCGATTTTCTTTTCGTATATCTTCTAAAAGTAGCCATGTCTGCTTTCTGTTGTTATCTGATTATTAGTATAGTGTATCTTTGCTATGCGTAAATTTCTTATATTTCACCTGGCAGTTGCCGATCAGGATTTTACATTATAGTATTTTAAGCCCGATTCTCTTCATGGTTTCATTCATTTCACCTAGCAATTGCAGATTGAGATTTTAAGGCCTTTACTTCTCTGCAGCTGTAGTTTCTATTGTGAACTCCTCATTTTTCCGCGTAGTTGTATGAATATACCTTTGTATCACAAGAAGCGGGTTTTCTTATTGTTTTATATTGTAATTTTATTTTTTCTGCAGGAAGGATCCAGGTTACATCAGAATGAATATCCATGATCCGCAAACCATGAAAGATGATGTTAGTAGCTTTATCGGTTCTCAAGTTTAAGTTACATAATTGTCCATATTATCCAGTTCGGTATGATTTTGAGCACTATTTTTTTTTGTTCTAGTGTCTTACTGGTTTTCTTACCCCTTTATAGGAACCGCTGTTAAAAATAGAGCTAAACAATCCTGCTTTGCTTGCTGGGAATTGGACACAGCTCTGTGCAACATGCAAGGTACCTGCTCAAATTCCCTTTTATGTCTTACTTCAATCTTAATACCAAGTACTTAATCACCGATGCTCCATCTTGAAATTTACTTCTTTTGGTCCACTTTGTTTCATTTTATTCAGATTATCAGACCTCTTCGAGCTAAGCACTGTTCCACCTGTGATCGTTGTGTAGAACAATTTGATCACCATTGTCCTTGGGTATCAAATTGTGTTGGAAAAGTAAGTACAGTTCCTGTCTTCCTAATTTGTTTTTGACATAGAAGTTGGCAAAATAGGGGTAGACGGATCAGGCTTTTGTTTGATGCTAACATTTCATATTACTAAATCTGCCTTCCTCTTCCTTGTCTCTTTTGGTGTGACCTAACTTACTGTTCTTTCGAAAATGCTTAGTGGTATATTTGTGTTGCAAATTTTGGTATACAGATCAACAGAGATGCTTCTTGGTGTCACATCACCTCTTCTATTTGTTTCCGTTGCTAGTGGTTTGATTTCTTAGTCTTGCAGCTGGAGCATGGTACTAATCTGTGGATTGTCCTTGTTTTCCAACCGATTTTGCAGAAAAACAAGTGGGAATTTTTTCTTTTTCTTCTACTTGAAGTTCTAGCGATGCTGATAACTGGTGGCGTCACTCTTGCAAGTATGTTTGTAGTGGAAGATGCCCTTTAATCGTTATATGTAAATCTAGAGAAAACTTTCGGACAAAAATGTAAATGGTGTATTATCCACATGCAGGAGTCTTGAGTGACCCTTCAGCTCCATCTTCTTTTGGAGCATGGATGAGCCATGTCGCTAGTAATCATGTGGGTGCTTTATCCTTTCTGCTGGTGGAATTCTGCCTCTTCTTTTCTGTTGCCGTCTTGACAGTCATACAAGCGTCACAGGTGAGTCCTCATGCCTTTTGCCTTATCTGCACATCTTTGTTCCTCTTGTGATCTAAATGGTACAAAGACTGTTCTTTCGTACTTCGCTTCCGCGGATTATTCATCTCTAGAGTAGCTCCAGAGCTAAAACTCACTAAGTAGACTAGATTATTCGATTTTCATGGCGGGGTGTTTTGCCTCATCCTGAAGATCCATTCTGTCCCTTTTTTCCTTTACAGATAGCAAGGAACATAACCACAAATGAAATGGCCAACGCCTTGCGGTACAGCTACCTAAGAGGTCCAGGTGGTCGCTTTAGGAATCCTTATGATCTCGGGTGCAGAAGAAACTGCTCGGATTTCTTAGTAAAAGGTTATAACGAAGATATTGAGTGTCATGAAGAAGACGCAACACAGAGACCAGAGGGTATTAGCATGATGCAGATGCAGCGGAATTCAAATCTTCAAAATGGCAATGGCCATGTCGCTATCGATGTTAACCCGATACAGAATTCACAGGCAGCACATGTTCATTCTTCCAACTGCAGCCATAGCCATAATAGTAAGTCAAAGAGTGACAATGTTCCTTTGGGTTTGGGACTTGGTCTTAGTCGCAACCCAAGCCGACCTGTTGTATCTCCATAATATGGTCCGTGTCCCAAATGTGCATTTGTGTTGTAAGAAACACGTGTTTGCTCTCGTCGAGTTATTGATTACATCATTATCCGTTTCATGTGAAGATAGTAATACTAGCGATTTTTTTTTAATTTCATTTTAAGTGATGTTTACAATTTTCTATGCAAAAATTAAATGTTTTAATAGTATATTTTCTTACAAGTTAAATTCATATAGTATGTTTACTTGAATAGTGTTTGAAAATCATATAGTATGTTTTTTTAAAAATTTGTGCAAACTTTAAACATCACTTATAATGAAATGGTTGTACATTATGTTTTCTGAGCTGAGGTTTGGAAGTTTGACTCGTCAATAAACTGATTGATATTACTTGCTTTTTCCAAATTTCAAATCGCCACAAAACACATCATTACATTTTATATGTAACAACGAATTACAAGACAATGACTGACTCCGCACCAAAATCTTGCGAAGGTCCCAAAAATAGGAAAATGAAAGGAAAAAAAGAAGAAGCCAATTTGTTGTTTGTGTATGAATGTTTCAAGCCAGATGCAATTTGAGTTAGAAACCAATGAATAAAGTCACAACTCACCCTGTGGAAGAAGAAGAAGAATCTGCATGATATCTTTGCTTCACTCCTCGCCAAAATCAATGGTATAAATGTTACACAAACAAAAGAGAACATATATGTTTCTTTCTGTCTACAAAAATCTGAAGTTGGTACCCTAACCACAAGACAAAAACCTGCAAAGAGAGATCTTTGTGGTTAGCTGATGATTTCAAACCCAAGTAGCATCCAGAATGTGAACATTTTGGTTCAGGTCAAAGACATAAAAGCATTGCCTATAACAGTCGCAATAAGTAAAATAAAAGTTAGGTAGTTATGATAGAGCATAGTCTGGACAATGAAATGAAATGAACTAAGAATAGTCTGGTCTGATTAAGTTTCTTTATCATCTTGAACCAAAGCACATAAGGTTCAGACCTAGCACTGCCACACTGGCCAACAACATTTAGTTCCTCAAACCTAACAATTTCGTGAGATTATATATGTACCTTGAAATGAAGCTTGATCAAGATAATGACCAAAGTCATTGTGAGACACTTTGTCATGGAAACCCCTTCAACCACGTTGGATTGCTATATTTGACACATGAAAGATATTTTCAGCCCTTCTCTTTAGTATCTCTTCCAACTGCTCTGATGGGATCCCATTTGTCCAATGTTTTGCTTCATATATCTCGTTAAAAATCTGTATTATCTCTTCCACGTGAATCCTTAGATCTGCAGCAATGAAAAAGGATTATATCAAACATCATGGCTTATCTTTTTCAAAATCAATATTGAACAAGATCACATAGTACCTCGTAATGTATTGCCTGCCACAGAATCTTCACTTATTATCGCAACAACATCATCCCTACAAGTTCCAGCTAACTCAAATTTCTCCGTTGCAGCTTCTAAACTCTCTCTCCAGAATGGATGGTCAAGTTTGTACTCCATGATTGATTTCTCATAAAGTACAGTACATAATAAAATATCTATCCATGACTTTAGCCTTCCTGCTTCTTTTGCTGGGTTATTTTGAGTTGAGCTACCCGGCACCTTTTCATGTGTCAGGCAATCGGTTTTGCCTGCTTGAGAAGTCTCACTTTCCTTTTTGGTTTCCAAATTTTTCAACACTTCCATAGACTTTTTGATATTGCTTTCGGCGCTTTGATAAAACTGTACTACATCTGCATATGGCCATGTTTTCAAATCAAGGTGACAGACAAGTACATAATACCATGAAAGTCTTGCTTCCTCAAACTGCTGCAGACCTAGCGCCAGAAAGACTTCAAAAAACTCCGGCTTTATTTTCATGGCCTCTTCATACTTTTCTTTTGCTTTTGCGTGCTCCTTCTGAGCGCATTCATAAGCAGTTTTAACTTGGTCAGAAACAGATTCTCCAGAAACACCCTGTAGGAGGCTCAACCTTTTCCTTGCCCCCGACATGTGCACATTTCCCAACTTTAACAATGATCGAGCTGCCACTTCTTGGAATTGATGAGCCGCTCTGTCAAAAGGACCTTGAGCTGCATTGGAAGTTACCACCTCCTCCATAGCTTCTGAATTAAGTTTCATCCCAAGTTCTTGAAGATTCAAGCATGTATCAGAATCAATTCTGGCCTGGGTCTTAAAAAGCTGAGCAAATTCAATCATCCAATCTTCAACTTTACATCCACCTCTTCCGTATACCTTTGCTTTAAAAGAATCAGCGGTAATTTTGAGTTTCTTCATCTCAACTAATCTTCCAAAATAGGGATCCTGCTCAGGACTAACTTCCACTACATAGAACCTCATAGTGCCCTGTGACCTTGATGACACCTCACTCATTCTTAACTCTTCATCTGTTGTGATTGTCACTAAATCTCCTTCTTGGTCCCTGTACTTTATATGAACTGCTCTTAAGCTTGGGAAACGCTCATGAACAACTTCCCTAAGTTTAAAGAGAGTGCAATTTATAGGCAACTCAGCCAATCTTATGTCGTCAGAGTATACGAATTTCACATCCTTGTTTACATCTTCTACACCTACAACCAGAAGTTCCTCCTCAATTATCACTTTTTCCTTTTCCTTGCTCATATCACTTCTCTTATCCAACTGTTTCCCTTTTCCATTTTTTTTGCTCTGCTTATCGATAATCTTTTCCTTGCCTTTTTCAGCTGCAACAATGTTCTTCTTCTCAGTCTCTACATTCTCACCCTCGCTCTTCTCTTGCACTTGATTGCTCTTTTTGGTTTTCTTCACTCGTGACTTGCCTAGTTTAGCCCACAGTGCTGCAGGGGAAGCCTCAACAGGTTCAACATAATCTGGAGGCAACTCTATCACTGAATCATTAACCCTTAACCCTTTGCTCTCTAAAGTTCTCTTAAGCTTGTCAACAATTTCGGATGCCATGGGATTCTTGGGATCCAGTTTCGAAACCATACAAACATCTCTCAAAGCCAAATCCAACTTATTCAATGCCTCATAACATCTTGCCCTTTTCAACAATGCTTTACTATGATCAGGAGTAACACTAAGTGCTAAATCACATTCATAAATCGCTTTCGCAAACTCGCCTGGTTCCAATTGCATATAACAAGAAGCCATATTAGCTCGAACATGAGACACCTCTACATGATCCTTAGGAAGTATCTTGATAGCTTCACCATATTTAAACATTGCACCATCATAATCTCTCTTCTGAAACAACTTGTTCCCTTCTTCCTTCAAACCTTGTGCCTTTGAAACACAATCATCTAAAGTTTCAACCTTTGAAACACAATCAACTAAAGTTTCAACCTTTGAAACACAATCAACTAAAGTTTCAACCTTTGAAACACAGTCATCTAAAGTTTCAACCTTTGAAACACAATCATCTAAAGTTTCAACCTTTGAATCATCCACTAATTGACTTTGGCTCGTTTCAGCATCTGTAGATTTCCCCTCATTTTGCTTCTCCATGGCAATCCTCAGAAGCAAAACAACGAGAGAAAGATTCCAAATTTACAAACGATTTCTACTCATGAGGAGATTCTATGTCGGAAGCTTTAAGAAGAAACTATAAACAGCTAATTCCACAGGTCTGGTAATGAAACAGTGCACACAAAAGAAAGAAGAAAGAATACAAATGTATATTTAAGTATAATATACAAAAGCCCTTATTAAGAGAGATTACAAGATAGAACACGAAACGTGTCTACCTCTTATAAATCGAGATCCTTGAATCGGAAAAGAAACGGCAATATTCCGGAGCTTGTATCTGGGAAGATTATATGGGTTTTCTCGGGAAAGAGATGAATTTTCCGGGAAAGAGATGGGGAGAGGAAGAAGAAGCGATGGTAAAAGAAGGAAGAAGGAAGAAGAAGATTGGACCATGTGGCTCTGTGACGAGATAGCTTTGTCGTAAAGCCACGACGACTCGTTGAGCCAAAAACATTATAAAAGAAATTAATTTATAAAAATAAGGAAAAGGAAAAGAGAAGGCGAATCGAATCATCTCGGTTTGTTGACACGTGTCGAATCTTTACAGCGAATTAATACTTTGGGAATTTTATTCAATGCGCTGTTCTTTTTTTTTTGTCGCAAGTGTGTTTTTATTCATACTGCAAGCCAAAGTAACAGGCCAAATATAAAACATACAGACCAAACTAAATAGACCAAGAAAACAAGGTAAAGGCCCAAAAGCCCAGTTTAATAACTTTAGCATGAAGAAAAAACTGTTGTTGACAGCACAAAGGACACGTGGCAACTGGAAAACATGTTGGGTGACACGTGAGAAGTTGAAGGAGATGGAGTTTCCGTCACCGGCAGAATCTTCTAACGCCGGAGAGCTTCAATTCTGGTCGAAATCGCCAGAAACCTAGTGTAGTCGGTAGATCCCAATCTTCGCCCAAAGAAACTATGGCGAAATTCCAATTTAGCTTGATGAGAATGACTCCACTTAATTCAAATCGGTTAATCTTCTTCATCTTCTTCTTCAAAAAACAGCTTTTCAATCTTCAAGATGCAGTTCATCAAACCGGTCCAAAAGCTAGCCTATAACCGCCGAAGAGATAAGCGGTGATACAACTAGAAACAAAGCCAGCCATCAACGCTATATAAGTCGCTCGATGCCGGAGACAAACCCGGACGAAGATGCTAGTGAAGCCATCTACGCCGGAAGCAAAGCCAGCCTACACCACTGAGAAAGCTAGTGCAGCCAGACAAGAAACCCGCCTCAAGCGGGGCCAAAGTCACCGGAAAAGAATTGCCGGCAACATATGAACGGAAAAACTTCTTTCTCTCTGAAAGATGAAAGAGAGAGAAGAGAGAGAAGAAGTCTTCAATGCGCTGTTCTATGTACAATTTTATTTTTACTTTTTAATCAAATTTGCAATGTATTTTTTCTCAATTGAAAATAAATTATACTATTTAGTTGAAATATTCAAAATATGGGTATTTAAAAACAATACTCCCTCTGTTTCACAAAGAGTGTCGTTTTAGAGTTTTGCACACAGATTAAGAAAACATTAAATTTTTTGTTTTTTCTAAACAAAAACATCATTACCTATATACTTAAACACAATCTGCCCAATAGTAAAACAATCTGCAGAATACTAATAGTCATAAAACATAAAAAATCATTAAATTTTGCATTGAAAACCTAAAACGACACTCTTTGTGAAACAAAAATAAAACCTTAAAACGACACTCTTTGTGAAACGGAGGGAGTAATATCTAGTTATTCTTGAAATAATTTTAGGTTTGGGTTTGAAATCCTTTAGGTTATAAAATTAATAAAATGTTGTCAAGTTGACTAAAAGAAAACATGCTTATTTAAGCTAAAATAGATTCATAGAATTTGTTTAGAAAAGATCATCAGAATTTATTAACTCCTAAATACACCAATCGCATTAGGAAAATTTCCAATCAAATTAAGGAAGAATTCGAGCACACAAATCAAGTCCTACTAAAATGTGATTTAGTATCTACACAAAGTTCATCAATATACTGCGCCCAAGGAAAACCCTAAAAAATAGTTCCTTCGTACGCAAGAAAACATAGAAGAAAAAGGAAATTCGAAACCCTAGCTCGTTAATCTTGATCTTTATGAAAGCGGCTAAGCCGTGGCCGGAACTCAGAACGTTGATGGCTATGAATAGACGACGGTTTAACTAGATTCGCCGCTAAAGATCTCCTAAACCTCTCCGCCTCAACACTCCCAATCTTCGCTAGCGAATTCATCAACGCCAATTTCCTCAGATTCAATCCAACATTAATCTGATTATCACCACGATTGTTACGCTTGGCCGTCGAAGAAGCTAGGGTTTTGGATTTCTCATGTTCTAACTGGCGGTGATAAGAGCACCGGAAAGAACCAGGGTGCGTCGTAGGAGAGCACAAACACTTTCTCTTCTGATGATTAGAAGAAACGGTTACGGAGGGTTTCGTCGGGATGTTTCCAGGAGAAAAAACCTTTAATCGGACATTGAGATTGTTGCAAGGAGACGGAGATCGTTGACGATGATGATGATGATGATGATTGTTGTGTAATCTCTGGGAAGAAGAAAGAGGACGAAGAACTGATCGGCTTGATCTTCCAGTAGCCGCCATTACTCTGCACAAGTGAAGAGATCGAGAAGAGAAGCGTTTTGTTGGTTTTGTGATTAAATGTTTAATTAAAAGATTGGTTCTGTTGAAGAAGATTCAGCGATTCCGTTTGATTCGCATCATCTATTTATGGAGTATATCTACGTAGAGATCTCTGGCGGTTGCGAATCGTGTCGAGGGTCAGAATTGCCATTTAATATAATGTTATTTTTCCTTTTTCCTAATCGGAATTAAACCAATAATAAACCAGAGTCTGTACCGAATTGGAAGGAAAAACCAGAGAGTCAATCCTTTTCAATACTCTACTTTTTACCACCATTAACACTTGAGTTTCATTTGCAGAGCTATGCAAAAACCAGGATAAGGCAGTGAACAAAATTACCACTGCTCTTTGTTTTTGCTTTCACAACAGAAATTTTTTTACTATTTCTTTTACCTATACAATAACAAAAGACTCCATTTTTTTGTGCCTCAAAAAACAGAAGAACAAAACTTATGAGTCTTCCTTTGTGAATGTCTGAGGCTCACTGCTAGCAAATGCCAACCATACAACCGTCCCCGTCAAGTAGAAGAATATCGATGGCACGAATAGAGACATCTACACGGTAATCACAACTTTGAGTTAACTAATCAATAAGGGATTGATCATCACTGACGGTAAAGCTAGCAACTTACAGTCCAGGAATGGGTTGAGTCAAGGAGAAAACCAGTTAGGGCCACTCCTACAATCCCAGGTACTGCCCCCACTGTGTTGGTAATACCCTGAGATACAAAAATATCCCACGACATGTTTAGACCCAAATATAATTTCCATCTCATTGGCTTCAAGCAGGAATCATATAATGGTGTAAGTATGAGAACCACATGTACCAGGAGTATGCTTGCATATTCGGGTGAGATGTCCTGATGAGTACAATAAAGTCCTGTAAAATGGAACATAGTGTTTGTCAAATCCATTACAATAAACTCTTTCGGGTGCATCTTCTTTATATGAAGTTACTTAAAGATTCTTGACAGAAGATAGCAAAGTAGAACATCTCCAGTTACCTGATAAAGCAAAACTTGATAGGGCCAAGCCTGCTGTCAAGATTCCTACAATTTCCCATGGTGGCAATCCAATGTCCACAGATGAAAGTGTCATGCAGATCGCTGGGGACACAAACGCAATCGTTTGACAAATCTTTCGGACCTACAAGGCAAATTCTCGAGGAGTTTACATATCAAAGTGACGACAGGTTGATCTAGATAACTGGGTACCCATTGGTGTAAAATGAGAAAAGGGAATTAAAAAACACTTGGATAAATTGAGTATAAAGAGTATAAAATACTAGATCTGCAAGAGCCTTCATGTTAAGACCCTTTGGGTTTGTTACAAGGGTACATACAAGGAAAAGAGATGTGATTTTATACCGTGGTAGTCTCAACTCCATTTGTAATTAAGTAATCAGCAAATTGTGAAGCAAGACTTGTCACGACAATCGAAGCCAGTGGAGGAAGGATGGAAACCTGATCTTCACATCCACATATTAAATCCCAAAATGTTATACCTTTGCAAAATGCAAGCTGAACTTATTTTTTCGCTTTTCCAGGAGAGACACAATATAAAAACAGTTTTATACTTACCCAAGCAGCTTCTGTCAAATTTAGATTCAGCGCCTCACTGCATACCGGAAATATGATGAAAATTACTCTCTTCATCAACAAAGATACAGAACGAGAGAGAAAGAATACTGGTATAACCAAAAATGTATTTTTCAGAGAACAATTTAAAAGTACTTTCATCTAAATCACGGCCTGGAGATTTTCTATCAGAAAAGATGAGTAATGAAAGCATAACATAAATCAAGTATCAATAAGTTCTTGAAATGAGAACACCTCTTGTACAAATTAAGTTAATAAATATTAGAATTTCAGTCTGCAGATATATAGCTTTTCAACAAGTAGAGCAGCTTATGCATTGCCCAGTAAAATCTAATATGGTGAACACTGAACAGAGAGAAAAGTGAACACGCAATTACCTGAAATAAGTTGGTAGCCAAGATAAACAGGTATAGTGACCCCAGCTTCCACAAAAGTGAGTGTATATCATTGCCCAAACAGCCGAGCTTTGGAAAAATGACTTCCATGGAATCTCCTGTAGTAAGATACCCAAAAGATGAAGCATTGACTTAAAGCAAACTATAAGGTTTTGGGTTTTCAAAACTATTTGTTTTTAGGCCATTTTGGCACCATTTTAGGGGACATGGTTTTAAACCAAGTGAGTGCAACTAGAATATAATTCCACTCCTCCTTCGATAGAAGGTTATGCAGTTCTCCTATTATAGTTATTGCAACTACGTACTTACAGTAGAAAAAATAATAAGCTTGACAAAGTGAATTCTCGCTAAATTCAACCTCATATCAATTAGAAATGAAATAAAGAACATATCCAGACATAGACATAATATTAGATAACCTAACCTTCAATGAGCTCCCCAACTCTTCCTTTGTAGCGTTTTCTGATTTATGCGAAGTAGAGATCTCATTACCTATCAAACAAAGGGCAATCCTGATTGTAAATGGTGTTCAAGTCCAAGATCCCAATAACTGAGTGGAGTATGAGTTATAATAGTTGGCCAATAAACAGACAACAAAAGATTATCTGGCTACGTGTACATCCAAAGAATTGCTTCACTCCCAATACAGTATATGCTTCAGTTCAAGATGAATTTGAACTTAATAGTGGGTTAGAGAAAGATTTACAAGTAATTCTCATCTGTTACACTTCTGTTTCCATATTATAACAAGAAACGACGAGAATGGCTTTCACAATATAAATCATGGACAAAACGACACATAAGTAAATGTGTAATAAATACAATTATGTGACATCTAAGCTCCCTGGTTATATCCATAACCTCAAACAAACGATGGGACTTCGATGAATGATATTCAAGATTAAATAAAGTTTGAATAAGCAAAAAGAAGGAGAAACCACCTTTATACGAAACTTCTTCTTCATTAAGAAACTGAAACCCGACGAACCTTCAACATAGGGGAAAAACTGAGAATACAGAAAATACTAACAAAGCATGATGGCATCTTGGTATGAATGATGAAAGAAATAAATTCAGCCATCAATATTTGATAAAGAAGAATAGTCAGAACAACAATGTTGTGAAAGTCTTTAGTCAGCAATCGATGAGACTTACCAGCCAACACCAAGGAGACCAAACAAGTAAAAGACAGATTCCCAATTAAAGGTTTCGATAATGGGAGGAGCCAAGAGAAGCCTGCAGACATAATAACGTTAGTCTGTGCAAGTCTCAAAGCTGTCCATCCGTCTTCATTAGAGTATTAACCAAATAATAAACATTGATAAATGAACACCACATACTTGTAACTTCTATAGTTTAAGTATCACATAAGAAAAACATACCCCATTACACTCCCCAAACTCAATCCTCCAAAAACAAAGCCTACCGCCCTTGAGCGCTCCTTAACAGGTATTGTCCTGAACCCAGTAATTGAATGGCGCAATCAGGATATGAAAGAAAAGGCTAAAAGCTATAAAGCAATATGTTCAGCCAGAAATTTAAGCACAAACTTAATGCATGTATATGTAATTTCAGCTTTAGTAAAGAAAGGGTTCTCATAAGAAAAAAAAATGTCCAGTTCTTGAATATTAAGATGCCTATCGGCCACTGAAGACCAACCTATGGAAACATATGGATGTCAGTAGACAATCATATCTAGATCATGAGCTAAATTTAAAGACAACGCTGCATAAGAAATTAAACACACATCATTTATAGTCAAGTAAGTACGAGCACTGTTCAAATTTGCTCCAAATTAATACATGCCTGGCAATAAGGTCCGTTGCAGCTGATGGAGAAACGCCTTCTCCTATTCCCACCTGGAGTTACAAATCTCTGTGTTAAGACAAAGACATAATGTAAGGCTAGAGTAGGGTAGGGGAGAGAAGGAAAGAGCTTAAGAGTGTTCATGGGACTTTTTACAAGCTTAATAAACTAAGGAATTTGTAACAAGACCATGACTCTAAAGAAACTAGAATGATAGCATAAATCAGTATAATGCTTACCAAAATTCGAGAAAAGATTAAACCAGGCATAAATCCAGCAAGTAGTGGAACAAGAGCTGTAGCGAAAGACCATGTAAAGACACCAATCTCAAGCACTTTTCTGCATTAGAAAAAAAAAAAAAGAAGGATACAAAATCAGGACCAGTCCTGAAAGAAAAACTAGGAAGAGCCTTAAAAAAAAAGACAAACCTTCCACCAAAAATCTTGGAAAGCCAACCTCCAGGCAACTGGCTCAAGGCATAACCCCAAAAGAAGGATGACTGGACCAACCCGGCCACAGATGAGCTCCATCCAAACTGGTGTGACATTGGTATTATAGCAATACTCAAGTTCACCTGCAAATTCTCACCAGACAATATACATAGTCAAATGATATGGTCCTCACAATCATAATCTATCTCCTCCACAATTCATGTGTTCATATCATTACCATAAATCACCTAAAGAAGAAAGGAATCTTGATCAACAACAAGAAAGACTACGCCTTTACTAAATTGAACTCAAATTCACAAGACCCTGATCCTCATATCTCATGTAAGCTAACCAAAAGAAATGAAATTAGTTTCAATTCAAAGCGAGAAACCTTGTCCATATTGCAGATAACAAAGGCGAGAGAAGTAGCGCCAATAAGCTTATATCTCTGAGGTATATTTTTCCATGGAGGCCAATTTTGTTCAAAACCCGTTTCCGTACTGAGAACTTCCGGAATCGGAAGCTGGGGTTTAGGGTCTTCGATAGGATCCTTTGGAGGAAGCTTCTTGCTCTCTCTGACTCGTTCTGTGCCACTGGCGGAGCACTTAACCCTTGATTTGAAAAGAGGATTGTGGTGATGGTGGGGGAAGATGGTGTAAACGGAGAGGAAGGGTTGTTTATGTGCGTGGATAGGAGATGAGGAGGAGAAGAAGTGATTGTGGGGTCTCAAGGTAAGTCTCGCCATTGTTGGTGTCAGAGAGAGGAGGAGGAAGAAGCAAAATGGAAAATGAAGAAATGATTCTGAATTGAAGAAGAAGAGGGAGAGAGGAGGACACGGTGGAGGAAGAAGAGAGCTTGTGTGGCTCTCTCACTGTGGACGGATTTGTCTTCTATGTGGGTCCTCCTCCTTCTGTATCAAAAGCTTCTCTTTGCGTGATTCTCTTGTTTAACACATTTTTTTTTTTTGTTTAATGTATTCTCTTTTTTTTTTGTCGGCTTGTTTAATGTATTCTCTAAAAATAAAATTGCCAATTTTTGAAAAATAAAATTGCCAATTTTTGAAAAATAAAATTGCGAGTATAAAATGAGTGTTATTTTCAAAAAAAAAAAAACAATAATAATTAGTAATAGATTATACCGGAATAAGGCTGTTGTTTCCCTGTTCTTGGGGATTCCTAAGTTTGTGGTTATCAGATTGTAAGATATTTGTTATAATAATATTATCCTTTAGAGAAAAAAAAAAAAAAGATTATAGCGGACTAAGGAATTGTACCAATTGACTTGTCCATAGCTAATACCATGTTATCTTTTGTGGTGAAAGCTTTGCTTCTGAATTTCCTTATTTAAGAAGATCATACAACATAAAAAAATAAGTGTTGTTGTGGATCTTGATCTTATCACGCTCCATTACAACTACTAGAGCATCATTTACTAATGATTTGGGATTAGTCTATAAATCAAGAATCTAAAAATCAAAACAACTTGTAGATGGGCTTCATATTAGTAGGATTGTACAATCCAAAATTTTGTTCTGTTCCCGCTGGCTTTTGATTCTCGTTAAACGTCGCAAATAGAAATCCATTAATGCCACTGTTTGGTTTCTTTGGCGTTCCTTTACCGCTTTCCACATGTTTAACAAAATTTCCATTGTATATAGATGCGATATCTGGCGTTGTTAAGTTCCCGTTACCAGCAGATGGCCATCCGGTCTCTGTTACCACCATCGGTAAATCTATTACGTCCTTTTTCTCCATTGCCCATACAAACGCATCAAATATTACATCGAACATGTTTGAATAACCAAGTGGTCCGTCTTGGACCACGACCGCGTCGGTGTTGAAGATAGCATAACAAGCTGAATGTTGACAGGATCATCAGCATAAGCGAAGTAAGGGTAGATGTTGACAAGAATACGGCGGAAGGTGGATACGATTGGCCAAGATTGGTCATAGCCACCGTGGTGCTAATCAAGATTGGGAGACTCCTCGACTTGACAACGTTGGTGAGAGATTGCATGACTGGCAACACGTAAGAGCCGATTAATTTCTCCGGGAATGACTTCATTCCCAACAGTAATGAATGTAATGTTGACATCAGCTAAGTAAGGCTCAATGTTAGTCATGAACCAGGTGTTAACAGCGTCTTCGCTTATCGAAAGAGCTTGTAAGTCTTGGTTCTTAACACCTACCATAACTCTAATATCGCGGTTCCCTCGGAAAGCGTTAAGGACATCCCTATTCGTGTCGAAAATCCGAATATTGGTAACACTTAATGACTTGTATGGTGAAAATCAGAATTACACCACATAATTATATAAGTTTTACAGACTTGAATTTTTAATAGATTTTTCTTTTGTAAAATTTATTTATTCATACCTATTTTCGAATCATAAAGTGTTCCGGAAAAAAAACAGATTTCTGTCGAAATATGAATTTGGTATAATATATTACTGAAAATTACAGAAGTGATTTTTTTGGGGGAAAAAACAAGTCTTTGAAGTTCGAAATAATGTTATCAAAAGGCATCTTTTGAACTGAGCAACTTGCTTCTTGTGCATATTAAAATAGTGTTATCTTTAATCAAACGACAAAGTCAAGATCTTCGTTGGTCTATAAGCAAAACGCTCATCATATTCAAGATCCTCCAAAATCATTGTAGAACCATGGAGAAGCCAAAGTTCAAGACTGTCCAAGAGGTGGTTGCTGCCGGCGAAGGACTGCTGGAGAGATATCTCCACGCACCCATCGGAGACGGCGAAGTTCAACCTCTTAACGCTGCGGTGCCGGAGATGGATATTCCGGCCATCGATCTGAATCTTCTCCTCTCTTCTTCTGAAGACGGTCGAGAAGAGTTGAGTAAACTTCACTCGGCACTCTCTACATGGGGCGTTGTTCAGGTTTGACTCTCTTAGTGATTGATCAGAGACATGAAATCTTGTAGAAGTTCCGGTGAGGCGGTGATATCATGGAGGTTGGTTTCTTATTGATGCAGGTGATGAATCATGGAATTACAGAACCGTTTCTAGACAAGATTTACAAGCTAACCAAGGAGTTCTTTGCGCTTCCGACCGAAGAGAAACAGAAGTGCGCGAGAGAGATTGGTAGTATCCAAGGATATGGAAACGACATGATTCTTTGGGATGATCAAGTTCTTGATTGGATCGACCGTTTGTATATTACTACTTACCCTGAAGATCAGAGACAACTTAAGTTCTGGCCTCAAGTCCCACTCGGATTCAGGTAAAGCTTATTATACCTTACGACTTTGTTCATTGACTTTGGTGCTTTTGACAAATCGTTTTGTTCAGGGAAACTTTACATGAGTACACAATGAAGCAACGGATAGTGATTGAGCAATTCTTTAAAGCCATGGCTAGATCTTTGGAGTTGGAAGAGAATAGTTTTCTAGACATGTATGGAGAAAGTGCTACTATGGATACAAGATTCAACATGTATCCTCCGTGTCCGATGCCGGACAAGGTTATTGGTGTTAAACCGCATGCTGATGGCTCGGCTTTCACTCTTCTCTTACCCGACAAAGATGTCGAAGGGCTTCAGTTCCAGAAAGATGGGAAATGGTATAAAGCTCCTATAGTCCCTGATACAATTTTGATCAATGTTGGTGATCAAATGGAGGTAATCAATCACCTACATATGCATATGACTTTGAAAGATTGATTGATGTAGATTTGTAATAAATAACCTCTCTTCTCGTGTGTGTTTTAGATAATGAGCAATGGGATATACAAGAGCCCGGTTCATAGAGTGGTGACTAACAGAGAAAAAGAAAGGATATCTGTGGCAACGTTTTGCATTCCAGGTGCAGACAAAGAGATTCAGCCTGTGGATGAGCTTGTGTCTGAGGCAAGACCAAGATTGTATAAAACAGTTAAGAAGTATGTGGAGCTCTACTTCAAGTACTATCAACAGGGTCGACGACCTATTGAAGCTGCATTGATCTGAAGTGAATCTGTTTCTTTATTTGCTTGCTCCTTAAAGAAAACACTGTTGCTTTGTTTGTTGGAAATGTGAGGCTGCATTGTGTTGTGTTGCAAATCTTAGACAAGAAAGAGAGTCTAAAGTTCATTTTCCCATATCAATTGCTGATTTGCTGTGAGAAATGTTTTTTCAACATATTGTCAAAGAAAAACACAAGGAACATAAGAAATCATTGGAAGTTATGTAATATCCATGGTCAGTTCTAACACTAAAAACAGAGGTTAACACGAAAACAGAGTTCCACACTAAAACAGATAGTCAAATTATTTTGCATAATTGTTATACTATAATGTTTTTCATTCTTTTGTTATTAAATCTAGGTTTATTTTACTTTTCGAGGACCCTGAATATTCGAATCTTTGAAATCGAACATTCCAAAAAAAGACACGATTCTGACGGCTGTCATCATTCGACAACCAGTCTTACGTTTGTCTTCCATGTTTCTCTCTTACAACATCAATCGTTCACCCAAAACACTCTCTTTCTGTCTCTTTCCTCGGAAAATTTCCCTTCTCCGGTGTCAAATCGCCGTGGGAAGGTGATCTTTCCGGGAAAGTCTCCGTTTTGTTTCTCCTAAACAGCTCAAAGACTCGTCTCGTCTCCTCCTTGTAAATGGCGACGACGGTTATGTCCCTAGCAGAGAAAGTGCTCGAACGAGTCTACGGAACTTCCAAATCCGCCGTTTACGTAGCAGGCGGCGATAGCGAAAAGACTCACCGTCATACCCATCATCACATTCACCGTAGCAAAAGCTACGACGACAGCGACGATGATATTTGTTACAGCGACGAGGATGAATCATCAATGGAGCTTGTCCAGATCGGTGCCGAGAGGACAAAGAACGTCTTGATCCTCATGAGCGACACTGGAGGTGGTCACCGTGCTTCTGCTGAAGCCATTCGCGACGCTTTCAAGATCGAATTCGGAGACAAATACAGAGTAAAGAACAATGCTGAGAAATTGTAGTTTATATTCTCACCCTAAAAGAGCTGATTTTTGATTGAGACTTGTATGATTTTGACAGATAATTGTGAAGGATGTGTGGAAGGAATACACAGGGTGGCCATTGAATGATATGGAGAGATCATATAAGTTCATGGTGAAGCATGTTCAGCTATGGAAAGTTGCTTTTCACAGCACATCTCCCAAATGGATCCACTCTTGTTATCTAGCAGCCATTGCGGCCTATTACGCTAAGGAAGTAGAGGCGGGTTTGATGGAGTATAAGCCTGAGATAATCATTAGTGTTCATCCTTTGATGCAACATATTCCATTGTGGGTTCTCAAATGGCAAGAGTTACAAAAAAGAGTCCTTTTTGTTACCGTCATTACTGATCTCAACACTTGTCATCCTACTTGGTATATATTATTAGAGCTTCGTTTAGTCTTTGAGAGAAGATGGTAGCTGCAAAGTTTGATATTTTTTTAATCTTCTGTGGTTTAGGTTTCATCCGGGGGTGAATAGGTGCTATTGCCCGTCTCAAGAAGTTGCGAAAAGGGCGTTGTTTGATGGGCTCGATGAGTCTCAAGTCCGTGTTTTTGGTTTACCTGTCAGGCCATCTTTTGCACGAGCGGTTTTGGTGAAGGATGATCTAAGAAAGGAGCTTGAGATGGATCAAGGTCTTCGTGCGGTTCTACTGATGGGAGGAGGGGAAGGTATGGGTCCTGTGAAAGAAACAGCCAAAGCTCTTGAGGAATTTTTGTATGACAAAGAGAACAGGAAGCCTATTGGGCAAATGGTTGTTATCTGTGGACGTAACAAGAAATTGGTATCTGCATTAGAAGCCATTGAATGGAAGATTCCTGTTAAGGTGTATATGATTATAACAAACCCCTTTGCCATTATTAGAGAGGTTCATAGTCTTCAAGAATCGACATTTAATGGATATTTACATTATAGGTTCGAGGATTCGAGACTCAAATGGAGAAATGGATGGGAGCTTGTGACTGCATCATCACAAAAGTAAGAGGATTTTGGTTTTTATGTCTACCTCTGTTCCCCAAAATGTTTATTAACTAAGTGTCCTACGAATCTTGCAGGCTGGACCGGGAACAATCGCTGAATCGCTGATTCGATCACTTCCTATCATCCTCAACGATTACATTCCTGGACAGGTCGGTTGAGATTTGCATTTTTAATGTTACCAGCTCATATATGTATAAATTCTCATATCAATTACACTTGAAATCAAACAGGAGAAAGGGAATGTGCCATATGTAGTGGAGAATGGTGCAGGAGTGTTCACAAGAAGTCCCAAAGAGACAGCTAGAATCGTTGGGGAATGGTTTAGCACAAAGACAGATGAGCTGGAGCAAACTTCAGACAACGCACGTAAACTAGCTCAGCCTGAGGCAGTCTTCGACATTGTCAAAGACATTGATGAGCTCTCAGAACAACGAGGTCCTCTTGCTAATGTCTCTTACACTCTTACCTCTTCTTTTGCCAGTTTAGTTTGATGTCCGATGTCTTATATTAACATGTCTCCCTTAGTAGTTCTTTGTCTGTTACTTTTTCTTTTATTTTTTTAATTTGTTTATTGATTGAAGTTGTATGTATTATTTTTAAGCAAAAGGTTCATGATGTTTTTGCATTATTGTTAGCCATTACAACAATTTTAAGATTCAACAAGAGATTCTTGTTCATATAGAATCAAACAGAGAAGTAGAGAACTACAAGAAATGGAAGCACATAATATTATTTCACATTACTATTTATTTGTTGATATTTCACATTATTAGAGACAGGGTTACACATTATTAGTATATGATACATTTTCACATTATTAGTAGTATATGATACATCTTCACATATATTAGTATATGATACATTTTCACATTATTAGTATATGACTCATGAGTTCCAGAGACTTAGGATCTTCAAAGCCATGGCTAAAACAGAGAACTAACCTTTTTGTTTCTGTTTGCGGAAAATACTAGGCTCTTATTATTCTTTTGGTATATAAACCATCATTTACCCTGTTGAAGCCTTCTCATTCTTCATGATCATATGGAAAGATTTCACTTTATCTTCTCCAACGATCTCTCTAAGATCATCGTCTTCAATCTTCTCAGCTTGCCATAGAGATGGATCAGCAACAAACTCCTCACTGAATATCATACTAGAGACCCACTCTTTCCATGTTGTCCTCCTGTACTTGTCTTCCTCTAATGTTCCTCTGGACAAGAGCTGATAAACGTAAACAACTTTCTGCTGTCCCGGTCTGAATGCACGAGCTATAGCTTGCTTTGTCTTTGAAGGGTTCCATTCCGAGTCGAGCATGATGACCCGTGAAGCAGCGGTTAGACTAATCCCTTCTGCGCACGCTGTGATTGAGGCCAGTAAGACTCGGGATGGGTTTCCAGGTTCTTCAAATTTGTCAATCACTCTACCTCTCTCGAACAGTTCAAGATCCCCGGTTAAGGTCAAGATCTCTCTGCCTCTTTGCCACCTGAAAACATTCTCAAACAGTTCGGTAAACATACGGATTGGCGCAATATTGTGGCAAAATATCAAGATCTTCTCCCTCTTGACCACTCGGTAGACAAGGTTTAGCACAAACATGACTTTAGATCCTTTCTTTGCGTCGTGCTTGAGTTTTCCGATCTCGAAAAGTTCTTGCGGGTTGAAGAATTTTGTGCAACAGGTTGAGCTTGTGACCAACCAAGGATGTATAGCAGCCAATGTTATCTGAAGCTCTACCTCGAGTGGATACCCGTAATAAGTCTTTATTGCATCTTGAAGTTTTGTGAGTATCTTATGCTGTATATCCGTCGAGTTCATCACTAATGTATAGATCTGCAGACCCGGAAGAGAGTCGCCACTTCCACTTCCACTCCCTTCATAGTTATCAATGAAACTATTAGTCATATTCTTCAACATATTGAGACCTTGAAGACGTTCATCTCCCACGCCTGCATCAATCTTCTTGGCAATAATATCGATGAAGAATTTACGAGCTCTATTCTCAAGCAAGTGAGGCGCCTTATTCACACCTTGATAGGTCTTGAATTTCTGATCTAACTCCATTAGAACCTCATGAATAAACTTTGGTCTAGCCAAACACAGCGTGTTGAAGTACTCGCAGAAGTTGTTCTGAAACAAAGTACCCGAAAGAAGTATCCTTAAGTCAGTACCAACTTTCATCAAGGCCTTACGTAATCTTGACTTAGTACTCCTCGGGTTATGTCCTTCATCAAGAACAAGAAGCCCAGGACTCTCTCTTAGCACTTTAGCCATGTATTTCCGGTGAGCAAACTTTGAGTCTTCCCTCATCAAAGTCGTAAACGAGGTGTAACCCATTACAAGAACACTCGGATGAGCGTGCCATTTCTGTATTTTTTCTAAGCAATCAAGAACATGCATCACATCTTGGCTCGGTTTCGGAACTCCATTGAACTGAATTGTGCTGTTCTGCTTGAAGGTACAGTAAGTTCTTCGACCGTGGATCAAATGAACCGGAACTGGGATCTCCCATTTGATGAACTCCTTGTACCATGTGTACAAAGTTGTTTTAGGAGCAAGAACCAAGGGTCTTTTCCCGGGAAATAGCTTCAAGTAGCTAGTGAGGAAAGCGATTATTAGGAAAGTTTTACCAGCTCCTGGAGAATGAGAGATCACACAACCACCTATGCTATCTGAAGTGGGATCCATAAGCGAGGGTTCCACAGATCCTGCTAGATTTCTCCAGAGAAACTCAAAAGCTCTTCGTTGATGCATATGTAGTTTTCTCTTAAGCTGAGGTATTAATGCCCAAACGTTGTCACTTTCTTCAGCGGAAAGCATTTCCGAAGAATCACTTGACATAGTGAAATCTTCAGTCTCGCCTTCTTTGTGGCTCAACTTAGTCTTTATGTCATCTTCTTCGAGCTGCTTAGTCTCCATTGTCCATTTCTTATGTTCTGCCTATTCAAACCAAACCATGAAATACAATCATTTACAAGCGAAGTAACATAAACATTATGCATTTGTAAGTTGTTGAGAGCTTCACTTACAAATGGTGCAGATACATCTTTTATCTCAGTTCCTACATGACCACATAACCTGCAACACATCCCGATTTCTTCGTCCAGCTTATAATCGTGTTCACAACCACTTCTCGCCTTTTCTAAAGCCTCGTTGTCCACTCTTGCCTAGATATTTTTATACACCACAACAATGTAATTAGCGGGCAAATTCTTGTATATGAGATGTTTCGAAGAGAACTATACCTCGTTGTCATCGAGTATGTAAGAAGAAGCCAAGCAGAGTTCCATTTCTCTCCATAACATTTCGTTCTCTGAAGTCTCTCCCTCACCATCTTCACTTAAGTTTTGTTCCATATCCCTATGCAGTTTAAATGCAAAATTCGTCTTCCTTAACTCCTCCCACTGGTCAACAACATTGGTAGGCTCGTCCTTGGCTGCAATTGTGGACTCAATGTTGTTCATGTATGAATCTATCAGCTTGTTGTATGCACCTGCACTCAATGTTACTTTCTTATAGACCCGTGGCTCATCGGAATCCTCTGTTTTTGGAGCAACTGACCGCGAAGGTCGGGATGTTCGTTTTTGAACCGACTTCACGTAGTTAGGACCTTTCCAACATAGATCAGATTCCATCATCTCTTCCATTTCCGTCATTTTCTTCCCGTATTTCGCGGATTTACATCGATACTTTTCGATCTCATCAAAGTACTGGCTTCTTGAAAAACTGCCACCCCCACCCAAACAGTTAGCATTAAGACCAAACTGTTCCAACGGTATAGGTTCAAATACCGGAGTGAAAGGAATAACCGAAAGCTCGGATTTCCTCTCTTTTCTACCAAATCCATGTACTCTCCTCTTGTCTACCAAAACAATCCCGCCTTTCATACTTTTCGGTATCGCTTCTCGAGAATTAGTTATCTTTTTCTTGATGAATAAACGCGATAATGGTACATACATATCATCATTAGTATCACCAGCATCATTGCTATCGTCCTCGTCGTCATCACTCTCCACACTAACAGCCCATTTTCCAATCTGGTACGGCATCATCCGCACCCACCCGTCATTTGTATCTAACTGATAATCACATCCGGTATATCTATCCGGTCTCACATTTCTTCTTTTGGACCGACGTAGTTCCACTACCTCATCTTCTTCTTGAAAATAATCGGTTTCTTGCTTTATTTCAGGATCTTGAGAATCATCCAATATATCTGCAGGATTAAACTGAACAACTTTTGATAACGAAACACCGTCTTCCACAGTTATATTCATCGAACTCAACGTACTGCTAGAGCCTTCACCCGCTACAATCTGATAAACCATCTTGGTTTGCACTGTTCTTATGTGAAACACAATGCTTTTCAGAATTGAAGTAACAGTCAACCACGAAAGATCCGGCAAGAACTTTCCCAACGACAGTCTCGTTTTCATCAAGGAAGTGCAGTCCTCAGAGAATTTCCACCTGTAAAACTGATCAGTACTTTGTTCCTTGTAAAACTTCTGGAGAATAGAGATTTGGTTTAGACCGATAAGCACGGCATCTTTATTGATTCTCTGTTTCTCCGACCCAAGGCAGCCTTGGTCAATGTAAATTCTAACACTGATCTTGCAAGAGCATTCAGAATCATGAGGCTTCCTCTCTATAGAAACAATCCTCGCATCGACCCAAACCTATGCAAAAAACAGATGCAGAGTATTTTGATGAGTTTCAAGATGCAAAGTACTTAAAAAATCAAAGTTAAATCAAATTCAAGCAATTGCAGCTACATATACCGGTTCTAAGTCATCCTCATGGAGACGATAGAGAACACAAACATCGATATCAGGCCGAAGGAAACAGATACAGTCACTCAAAGCCGCTTTTCTTGATCTGAGACGAAGCCTTTGGAAGGGACGGATATCCTCCAACACATAACCGTTCTCTAACAGACGTATTGTCATCATTCCATCTTGGATCCTCATGTATTCCACAGGCTTCCATGTACCCGAGCAGAAGAACTCAAACGCTAAAGAGTAAAAACCGGTATTAAGTCAAAACATTGTTATCCATTAGTCAAACTAATCCAATCCACACTTTGGCATTTTATTCCAACATTTTCTAGTTGATTAGCTTCTCTCATTTACTAATAGAAAGTTCCAACTTCTCAAAGATTGGCATTGAAGAGTATAAGGGAAATACACTTACGGCATGGATCAAATGGATGCTTCAAATTGTAGAAACCTCTTTTCTTCATTTTTTTTTACTTTTGGGTCAATCAACCAAACTCAAAGATCAGCAAAAAGGACAGAGCAGAGTGCTCTGCTCTTATTAGTAGTTTTCAATCTTTTGCTTGTTGATTGAGGGAAATGCTAAGTGCATCTGTGCATGTAATCAGAATTTTGTTAAGAGTTATAATGATGCTCTATCTTTCCAAATCACTTAACCAAGTCTAATCTCAAATGCACACTAGGAACAGAGAACTCTGTAAATATGACAATTTTGATTATATCACTACTAAACCCTCATCAGATACACGAAAAGAACTCAAATTTTACGTTAAGAATCGAAAAAGTCCACATCTGTTTTTTTAGGTAAAAAACAGAACCCAGATATTTTCCTGGAACAAGGAGCCCAAAAGAGGCAAAAAATATATATAAAATCGGTCACTACAGGCTAAAAGCATCGTTATCACTGCAAAAAACAGTAAGAATTCCCCAATGATCAACAAAACCGATATATCTAAGGAAGCACAAAAATAAAAATAAGAGTATTTGATTCAAAAGCAAACGATCATGATCTAGAAAGCAGAATATTAGAGCCCAAAACAACAACAAGACTCAGATTGAAGTCAAGAAAAGATGATCGAAGAACAGAGTCAGTGAGTGACCTTGGAAACAAAACCAGATTGTGCAGTGAAATGGAGAAGAGAGCGATGATATTCTATTCCATGATTCAAGGGCAACAGAAATAAGAAATATGTAGCAGAGAAAAAGGACGGAGAGTTCAATACCAGACCAGTTATTTCAGAATCTTGGCCACTGTGAAGATAAAATATTGAATAAAGATTTGCATGAATTTGTTGTATACAACAAACAAAAGAGAGCGACTGAGTGAGTGAGTGAGGGGATTAAAAAGAGTCCACGATTGGGAGTGTTGGCAAACGAACCGGACAATCTGACAAGCTCAAGTTCGAGTAATGCTTGGGACGAAACTAATATTACATGTTGTGCTTTCTGATCTCGAGGATTACGGGTTTTGCCCAGAACTTCCTGGAAAAAAAGGATTTAAGGAGGAGGGTAATTTGGTAATTTCGGTTATTTGCGCACTTTACATGAGGAGTAGAATACACGGCTGTGATTTGTTATATTTTATCTGTTTAGATAGATTTTCCGACACGAGGATAGCCAAGTCAATCTATGAAATTTTGTGGGGTCCACGGTGGAGATATGGTGGTAACTCTTTGACAACGAGTGTTGTAGGTTTAGGACGTGCATACTATATAAAGATAACTTAGGTAGTAGTAGCAGTAGTACAGTGAAAAAAAAAAATTGAAGGGCACAAGGCTGGATAGGTCTAAGAAGTGAAGGGCTTATATCCGCAAAAGAAATCGAGGTATTACCATCATCGCACTCATATCTCGCATCGTTTTCGTTACGAATCAAAATTATTGTTTCTGAAATCGAGATATTACCATCATCTCACTCATATAATGCATCGTTTTCGTTATGAATCAAAATTATTGTTACTGAAATCGAGATATTAACATCATCTCATTCATATAACGCATCGTTTTCGTTACGAATCAAAATTATTGTTTCTGAAATCGAGATATTACCATCATCTCACTCATATAACGCATCGTTTTCGTTACAAATCAAAATTATTGTTTCTGACAGTGTGATTAATGACGTATGTAAAAGGTATAATTTAAAAGACGTGATAAGATGCATCTGCAATATTATATAATCCAAATCATCGTCGTCTTACTGTTTATTGAACTTTGTCGTTATTTCAATCATTGCAATAACGTCTTTGAATTACTGCTTCGAACCTCGTTTCTTGGAGGTGATAAATCACCAATTTTTTTAACAATTTTAAATTAAATTTTTATATAAAATTTTTGAGAGATAAGTGTCATTTCTTTTTTCTTTTACCTTAGATCTGTATATGAGTGTGAATCTAAATCGCTTCACACTCAAGTGGTCAAAACCCTTCTTGTGGTACTCTTACCAATCCATAAACACACCAATACCCAATAACAACAAAATTTGCAAATAAAGATAATACCAAAAAAAAACAAATACCATTATATATACTTCAAAGGGAAATCGAAAACTCTAAAACTATATAATTAATTCATGTTGTATTTATTTCTATGTAAAAAACTTTAATAAAAATAAGTAAATACATGTAACTTCTTTTTCTTTTGTGCACAATTTTTTTTACTTCTCCTAAGAATTACATTATATAGTTTTTTTTTTCAAAAATACCTAAAGTGATATATCTCTAACTATTGTTTATTGGTAACGTCTTCGTGTTGGACTTAAAGAAAATGATATAAAAATTGTGTAAACAAATTGCAGTCGCCTGGTAGAAGATTTTTAAAAATATTTGGCATTCATATATTTTAATATATTCCAGTACGTTGATTCTTCGATTTTTTTTTTAATATGATTTTAATAGCTTCTTCGATTTTTTTTTTTAGGTTGATCAAGCTTCGATTATTTCTGCAAGTTTCGTCCTCTGCCTCACTCTCTCTCTGCAGACATGGGTTTATTGGTTCTAAACAGCTGGTATCTTCCAATACATTTCTTTTCATTTCTCTCTGTTTTTGTATTAGTAAAGTTTTGTTTGTATTTTAGGTCTCAAGTTTTCAGTGTATATTGCTTGTTGTTGGGGCAAAGTCAATCCTGATAATCCCCAAAACTTAGCTTCTCCTGACTCTTGTGTTGTGTTTTACATTCAAACTACTGGAATTTTAAGTTGAATAACCCCATTTGATTAAAACTTTATGGTTATAATCTTGCTCTAACACGATGGATGATCATATTTTTCTGTCTACAGTAACAATGTTCAGAGGACACTTCCACCAAAGGACAGGACACATCCTCAATATGAGAGCAAGGTTAGTAGAGTGGCTTAAATTATGGATCTGTAATCACATTTTTTAAAGTTGAAAAATTCTAATAAAACGTAGGGATTTCAGTTTCGAGAGCTTGACACAGAGACTATTGGAAGTGACAATCTCAGAGAAGCTGTGAAACTACCTCCTGGTGTAGACATTAACGAGTGGTTGGCCATGAACAGTTAAGACACAATCATTTTGATCCCTAGTTACTCTTTCTAAACTTGAGGGTTTCTTCTGAATTTGTTCTTGTGTCTTGTCTTTTAGCTGTAGATTTCTGCAAACAAATAAGCCTTTTGTATGCTACTCTTGAAGAGTTCTGCACACCCACCACTTGCCCAGTTATGAATGCTGGGACGTAAGTTTCTCATTCTTGATATTCTCATCCATCAAATCCAAAGCTTCTTGATCGTAAAACAATAGTTGTAGCATAGTATCGATCTTTCTCGGTCTTTTTTTTTTTTTTGCAGATATGAGTATAGATGGGAAGATGGAATAACTGTACTTGAGCCTAAAATGGTTTCAGCCCCTGAATATGCTGAGTGTCTCATGAATTGGATTGAAACTCAGATCGATAACGAAATCATCTTTCCAAAAGAACATGGTATTTGTGAAGCTAATCTATATTTTAAAACATCCTTTAGTTGGTTTTGATTTGTAACACTTTGTTTTCTTATTCAGGAGAACCATTCCCTTCAAACTTCGAGGATTTCGTGAAACGGATTTTGAGAAAGGTGTTTCGTGTCTATGCACACATCTACTATTCTCACTTTATTATGATTGTGACTCTCAAAGAACATGCTCATCTCAACACTTGCTTCAAGCATTTTCTTCTCTTTGTATCTGTGAGTTGATGAATCTTCCCTGGATCATTTTGTGTTCTTAGGAATGTTCTAATAGTTAATGGTAAAAGTTTATATATTTAACGATGATGCACGGTTTTTTGCAACATGCAGGAGTTCCAGTTGGTTGATGAAGAAGACATGGCTCCTGTTAAAAATCTCGTGGAAACTGTTTTGAAACCATAGAAGACTCTTCATGTTTTCAGGGGGAAAAGGGATTTTCATATATCCACCAATAACACCTTAAGAAGTTTATGATTTATGTAATAATGACTTTGGAGTTTGTCCAAAAAAAAAAATTAATGTAATAATGACTTTGTGTTGACTAAATGCCAATTTGATTCTCAAACTAAACTAAAGTAATCAAGAAACCAGAGAAGAGAAGTTTAGTACTTTAGACACTGTTGGAGTTGTTAAGTTACTTTTGGGTTACTTGTAGAACTAGTCTATGTCTTAGAGTTAAGCAAGACTAGTGGGAGTTGTTAAGTAGTTGTTGGAGAATAGTTTATTCTACTTTCTCTATAAGTTGTGTTGTGTAATGATGTGATCATGTATGAAAAAACGGAGAAGTTGTTTATGTTGTTCTATCTCTCTCTAAGCTTTACTTCTCTTTCTCAAATGTAAACACTAAACGGAACCAAAACAGAGACATGCTCAAGAAAACAACATGGTATCAGAGCTCGCTATGACTCCTGGAGTTGACTACATCAAGGTGAGAATGGCGGGTCAAGAAGATCCAGCAAAGATGAAGAACAAGGCAGTGGTACAGGAAACCACAATGAACAAGAGAATGATCAAAGAAAACAGAGAACAAGAAAGAAGTGGAACTAAGAAGAAAAGTTCAGAAGAAAGGGTCATGCTGGAACATGATGAAGAAAAAGAGATTCACATGTTTACTGCAAGACAAGAAGATACAAAAGGAAAAGAAGAAAGCATATGGCTTATTGATAGTGGATGTACGAACCATATGACTCCGTATGAGAAGATGTTCACAAAGATCAACACAGACATAAAGGTTCCAATAAGAGTTGGAAATGGAGCTGTGATGATGTCTAAAGGCAAAGGAGATATTGAGGTTATGACTAAGAAAGGCAAGAGAATCATAAAGGATGTGTTCCTTGTGCCGAAACTTGGTAAAAATCTTCTAAGTATCCCACAGATGATTACAAACGGATATCAAGTGAAGTTCAAAAGGAAAAAATGCATCATTCTTGATCGATTGGGAAGAAATATTGGTGAAGTTCCGATGGAAAACAGGAGTTTTCACATAAGGTGGCCGTCTAATGAAGAAAATGCGATGATGACAAGGGATGATGCTGCTGGTTTGTGGCATAGAAGGCTTGGTCATCTGGGATACTCAAATCTGAGTATGATGCAGTCAAAAGAAATGGTATTTGGGTTACCAAAGTTTAAAGCAGATAAAGAGAAATGTGAAAGCTGCATTCTAAGCAAGCACAACCGTGAACCTTTTCCAAAGCAATCAGAGTCAAGAGCAAAAGAAAAGCTGGAACTGATTCATAGTGACGTGTGTGGGCCAATGCAGAACTCATCGCTAAGTGGTAGCAGGTACTTACTTACCTTTATTGATGATGCTACTAGAATGGTATGGGTATATTTTTTGAAGGCAAAATCAGAGGTTTTTGCTACTTTCAAAAAATTCAAATATCTAGTTGAAAACCAAAGCGGCTGCAAAATAAAAAGAGTTAGAACAGATAGAGGAACAGAGTATCTATCTGGAGAGTTCACCAAGTTTTTGGAAGAAAACGGTATAGAACGACAACTAACAACGGCGTATACTCCTCAGCAAAACGGAGTGTCAGAGAGAAGAAACAGAAGCTTGGTGGAAATGGCCAGAGCCATGATCAAAGCTAAAGACATGCCTTTAAAATTCTGGGCTGAGGCTGTTCACACTGCAGGTTACATTCAAAACAGAACATCAACCAGAGCCCTTGAGAACAAGACTCCACTGGAAGCCTGGAATGGTACTAAACCGTCTTTAAACCACATGAAAGTGTTTGGGAGTGTGTGCTATGTGCATATACCAGATGAAAAACGAAAGAAGTGGGATGACAAGTCTAAGAAGGCAATTTTTGTCGGTTACAGCTCTCAAACCAAAGGATACAGGGCATACCTTCTTGAAGAAAACAAGATTGACATCTCTAGAGATGTCATTTTTGAGGAAGAAAGCAAATGGGATTGGAAATCCAAGAAAGTAATAAAGCACTGTGATCTATCCACAGAAATTGATGTCAGAGAAGAAGAAAGTCCCAGAGATGAAGAATCCAGTTCAAGTGATGATGACTCATGTGAAAGAAGGACAACTCAGCCATATGCTCCAAGGTCAAGTCTTAGCAGTCCTGAAGAAAACTCGAGTCTGGCACCCAAAAAGACTAGATCACTTGGTGATATACTTCTTACTGCACCTTTTGCAGACATTGAGTACTCGGATGTAAGTGAAGGATGTTATACTGTGTTTGAGGAGCCTAATCTGTTTGAAGAAGCTGCAAAGCACTCAGAATGGAAAGAAGCTATGGAAGAAGAAATACACATGATAGAGAAGAATCAAACGTGGGAGCTTGTCCAGAGACCACCCGACAAAAATGTGGTTGGTGTAAAGTGGATTTACAGGCTAAAAACCGATGCTAAAGGAAACACTGTGAAGAACAAAGCAAGGTTAGTTGCAAGAGGTTTCACACAACAATATGGTGTGGATTATCTTGAAACATTTGCACCTGTTTCAAGACATGAAACTATTAGGTTGCTAATCGCAGTCGCGGCTCAAAGAAAGTGGAAGTTGTTTCAATTGGATGTCAAGTCGGCGTTCTTAAATGGAAATTTAGAAGAAGAGATATATGTAGAACAACCTCTGGGATTTGAAGAAGAAGGAAAAGAGGATCATGTTCTACGTTTACACAAAGCCCTCTATGGTTTAAAGCAGGCTCCTAGAGCTTGGTACAGCAGGATTGATGAGTTTTTCCAGAGAGAAAACTTCAAGAGAAGTGAAAACGATCCCGCGTTGTATCTTAAAGAAACCAATGGGAAGCTTTTGGTCGTCTGCATATATGTTGATGATCTCATTGTCACTGGCGATGATGAGAATATGGTAGACGAGTTCAAGATGGCTATGAAAAATGAATTTGAGATGTCAGATTTGGGGTTATTGAATTACTTCTTGGGGATGGAGATAGAGCAAAGTGAAGAAGGAATTTTTCTCTCTCAGGAGTGCTATGCAAAGAAACTGCTGAAAAGATTTAATATGGAGGATTGCAAAAGCGTGACTACTCCATTGGTACCTCAGCGCAAAGATCAAGAAGAAGAAGAATGTCTTGCAGATTCAAAAATTTATAGAAGTCTGGTGGGAGGTCTTTTATATCTAACAGGTACTCGACCTGATTTAATGTTTGCTGCGTCTTATCTATCCAGATATCTAAAGGAACCTACTGGAAAACATCTCAAAGAAGCAAAAAGGGTACTTAGATATATCAAAGGGACCATTGATGCAGGTTTGATGTTCACTGCAACTTTGGAGCCAAAGTTAATCGGATATTCAGACAGTGACTGGGGAGGTTGCAGAGAAGACTTGAAATCAACTACTGGCTATTGTTTCAGCATTGGTTCTGCAGTGTTCTCTTGGCAAACGAGTAAACAGGATACTATTGCCCAGTCTACTGCGGAAGCTGAATATATGGCTTTGTGTGCTGCGACAAATCAAGCTCTATGGTTGAAACGGTTGCTAGAAGAACTGAACTACGTGGATCAAGGAGGAGTGCCTATTTATTGTGACAATCAATCGGCCATTGCAATTGGTAAGAATCCAGTCCAGCATCGGAGAACTAAACACATTCAAATCAAATATCACTTTGTCAGAGAATCAGAAAGAAAAGGAGATATCAAACTGGAGTACTGCAGAAGTGATGAACAACTGGCCGATATATTCACTAAAGCCTTGGCAGGACCAAGCTTTGATGTCTTTTGTGAACAGCTTGGTTTGAGGTACAAAATGGCAAGTGGGAGTGTTGACTAAATGCCAATTTGATTCTCAAACTAAACTAAAGTAATCAAGAAACCAGAGAAGAGAAGTTTAGTACTTTAGACACTGTTGGAGTTGTTAAGTTACTTTTGGGTTACTTGTAGAACTAGTCTATGTCTTAGAGTTAAGCAAGACTAGTGGGAGTTGTTAAGTAGTTGTTGGAGAATAGTTTATTCTACTTTCTCTATAAGTTGTGTTGTGTAATGATGTGATCATGTATGAAAAAACGGAGAAGTTGTTTATGTTGTTCTATCTCTCTCTAAGCTTTACTTCTCTTTCTCAAATGTAAACACTAAACGGAACCAAAACAGAGACATGCTCAAGAAAACAACACTTTGGCTTTTACAAAGTGAGTTGATGTAATGCAAACTATTATTGATCTTGTGAGGTTTAATTCAATAAATAGGATCAGCATCCCATAGCCAAATTATGTCTTTAATGATGCCAAAAGGGTGTGTGTTGGAACCAGCAGAACCTCTTTTTAACTTCACTGTTCAGAAACCAAATGCTATTTTTTCTCTTCTCGTAGACTAGAAATTTGCAGAGAATAAATTTGCTAAAAGTCCTCTTCTCGTAGACTAATATCCTTTTCAAGGCAGGTGGTGTTTGATACAACAAACTATGGATATGGATATTGGGAGGTCAATATGATGACAATCGTACCAGAAATGAATGAGGATGCTTGGACTGTAGTGGAGTCAAGTTGGGAAGATCCAAAAAAGTGGAAAATGAAAGGAACTCAGTTGTCAAGCATGGATTCACCGTTAAGTTAGATGCGGATAAGCTTGTCCTTAGCAAAAATGGGATGTATTTTCTAATAGTGATGTAATGTAACTGTGTCATCAGACTCATCCGCCTTTAGTCTGGTCTGCAGTGGACTAGGCAAGCATTCAAGGCCTAAATAGTTTGAGAAGCCATGGCCCATGAGAATTGAACCACGGGCTTGCCATCGTGGCTTGTGGCAAAAACTACAAGTAGTCTCCTTTTTTCAGCTTCGGCGAAGAACTACTTGCCGTTTTAACCGATAATAAACACCACACATTCCTAACGTCACAGTGACAAACACCTTCCGACTCACTCCACAAGAGATTTCTCGACCACCGACAATTCTTCTGAGTTCTGATCATGGCGCAAGGGATTCGCCGGAAGATCCAGTCTGAGCTGATTTTGCAAGAATCGATGGCCTTCCTCAAATTACCGGACGCATTTTACGACAGTGCAATTGATCGAGGCCTTCGCACAAAACCGTAAAGAAAAAATCCTCCTTTTATTTCTATTTACGACACTTGTTTATCAACAAGTAAAGATTGCATTTTTTTTTTGTACATGTAATTTGTTTCAGAATTTATAAAACGAGAACTTCTATCAATGTCTTTGAATTAACTTTGGAAAATTCAAACTTTCTGATGGATGATGATTGTCAATACAAGTTTCAGAAGAAGATTGAAACCAAAATGACAAGACAAGAGGTTGTGTGTATGTCGACCAATGTGTTCTGTTTTGGGAAATACTATGCCTTTTTTACTCCGTTTACACACACAGACGTTAATGTGTTTTGACTGTTGAAAAAACTAAAGATATTTCAAAAGTCTACGCAGTACGCAATTTGTTTTTTTGTGACCACTTTCAATGATTTTGGACCGCATTTAATAGCCCCACGACTGTAATGGGTTCACATTTTGGATTTTGCTTCTTGTTTACCTTAAAATTTCTTTCATTTTCTGGTTTAATGTTGAAGCAAAACCTTTCTTTATCTTTTTATAAGCGACATGAAGCTGTCTTTTTCACTTGCTTTCAATGCACTCATGTTGCTTCTTCAAGTTTGCTGCGTGGTCTTTGCTCAAGCCAGGTTTTCTAATGAGACTGATATGCAAGCTTTGCTTAAGTTCAAGTCTCAAGTTTCTGAAAACAAGAGAGAGGTCTTGGCCTCATGGAATCACTCCTCCCCATTATGCAATTGGATTGGAGTCATATGTGGCCGCAGGCAAGAAAGAGTTATAAGTCTGAACCTCGGAGGATTCAAGTTAACCGGTGTGATCTCACCCTCCATTGGTAATCTCTCCTTTCTCAGGTTTCTTAATCTTGGAGACAACTCTTTTGGAAGTACCATCCCTCAAGAGGTGGGAATGCTATTTAGGCTTCAGTACTTGAACATGAGCTATAATCTTCTCCAAGGAAGGATTCCGCCTAGTCTTTCTAACTGCTCTAGACTGTCGACTGTTGATTTATCGTCAAACCATCTTGGACATGGTGTTCCTTCAGAACTAGGTTCACTTTCTAAGCTGGCCATTCTGGATCTTAGTAAAAACAACCTTACAGGAAATTTTCCTGCATCTTTAGGAAACTTGACGTCACTCCAGAAGCTTGATTTTGCATATAACCAGATGGGAGGTGAGATTCCAGACGAAGTAGCTAGATTGACTCAAATGGTGTTTTTCCAAATAGCACTGAATAGTTTTTCAGGTGGTTTTCCTCCTGCATTGTACAACATCTCCTCTCTTGAGTATCTATCTCTAGCTGACAATAGCTTTTCGGGTAACCTCAGGGCTGATTTTGGTGATCTTCTACCAAATCTAAGAAGGCTTCTTTTGGGAACAAATCAGTTCACTGGAGCTATTCCCATAACACTTGCCAATATCTCAAGCCTTGAAAGGTTTGATATCTCATCTAATTACCTGACTGGAAGTATCCCTTCGAGCTTTGGAAAGTTACCTAATCTGTGGTGGTTAGGGATTCGTAATAACTCTCTTGGATATAACTCGTCCAGTGGTCTTGAATTTATTGGTGCTTTGGGGAACTGCACTCAATTAGAGTACTTAGATGTTGGTTACAATAGACTTGGAGGTGAGCTGCCTGCCTCCACAGCCAATCTGTCCACTAAATTGACTAGTCTGTTCCTTGGACAAAATCTTATCTCTGGAACCATTCCTCACGACATCGGGAATCTTATAAGCCTGCAAGAACTCAGTTTGGAAACAAATAAGTTGTCTGGAGAACTTCCAGTCTCTTTCGGGAAGCTTTTGAATTTGCAGGTGGTGGATCTCTATTCAAATGCAATATCGGGGGAAATACCATCTTATTTTGGCAACATGACTCGGTTGCAGAAGCTCCATTTGAATAGCAATAGTTTCCACGGAAGAATCCCTCAGAGTCTTGGACGTTGTCGATACTTGCTTGACCTGTGGATTGATACAAATAGGTTGAATGGGACTATACCTCGAGAAATACTGCAAATTCCGTCCCTCGCTTACATAGATTTGTCAAACAATTTCTTGACCGGCCATTTTCCAGAAGAAGTTGGAAAGTTGGAACTTCTTGTTGGACTAGGTGCTTCGTACAACAAATTATCAGGAAAGATCCCACAATCTATAGGGGGTTGTCTCTCGATGGAATTTCTCTATATGCAAGGAAATTCTTTTGACGGAGCCATTCCAGATATAAGCCGGTTGGTAAGCCTAACGAATGTTGACTTCTCCAACAACAATCTCTCTGGCCGGATACCTCGATATCTGGCCAATCTTCCTTTGCTGCGAAATCTGAATCTTTCTATGAACAAGTTTGAGGGAAGGGTGCCAACAACAGGAGTGTTTCGAAATGCTACAGCAGTTTCTGTTTTTGGTAACAAAAATATATGTGGAGGCGTCAGAGAAATGCAACTAAAGCCATGCATTGTAGAAGCATCTCCAAGAAAGAGAAAGCCTCTCTCACTTAGACAGAAAGTTGCCAGTGGTATTGGTATAGGTGTAGCTTTGCTTTTGTTAATCATAATTGTGGCTTCTCTGTGTTGGTTCATGAAGAGGAGAAAGAAGAACAATGCCAGTGATGGTAACCCATCTGATTCTACTACCTTGGGGATGTTCCATGAGAAGGTAAGTTATGAAGAGCTTCATAGTGCAACAAGTGGCTTCTCTTCAACCAATCTGATTGGTTCAGGCAATTTTGGTAATGTGTTTAAAGGATTGCTTGGCCATGAGAATAAACTCGTCGCGGTTAAAGTTCTGAACCTCCTAAAGCATGGAGCAACTAAAAGCTTTATGGCGGAATGTGAAACCTTCAAGGGTATACGACATCGTAACCTTGTAAAACTGATAACGGTCTGTTCAAGCCTCGATTCCGAGGGAAACGAATTCAGAGCTCTGGTCTATGAGTTCATGCCAAAAGGAAGTCTGGATACGTGGCTGCACCCAGAAGATCAGGAAAGGGAAAACGAGCACTCGAGATCCTTAACACTTCCAGAGAAACTCAACATAGCAATAGATGTGGCTTCAGCTTTGGAGTATCTGCACGTTCATTGTCATGACCCTGTAGCTCACTGTGATATTAAGCCAAGCAACGTTCTTCTAGACGATGATCTGACTGCTCATGTTAGTGACTTTGGTTTGGCTCGGCTCCTCTATAAATACGATCGCGAATCCTTTCTAAACCAGTTTAGTTCTGCCTGTGTCAGAGGCACCATTGGCTATACCCCACCAGGTTAATAATCATCTATATGCAAAATGTATTGTTTTAACAATGAATCATCCAACCTCATTGTGTGTTGTTTCTTTGAAATATGTGCAGAATATGGAATGGGAGGCCAACCATCAGTACAAGGAGATGTGTACAGCTTTGGAATTCTACTTTTGGAGATGTTCACAGGAAAGAAACCGACAGACGAACCATTTGCAGGCGATTACAACCTCCACTGCTACACACAGTCGGTATTGTCTGGTTGCACGAGTAGTGGAGGCAGCAACGCCATTGATGAATGGTTGAGACTGGTTTTGCAGGTGGGGATAAAGTGTTCTGAAGAATATCCAAGGGATAGGATGAGAATTGCTGAAGCGGTACGAGAATTAATCTCAATCAGAACTAAATTCTTCAGTTCCAAGACGAATATTACAGAGACTCCTCGAGATGCTCCGCAAAGTTCTCCTCAGGAATGGATGTTAAATGCGGACATGCATACTATGTAGACCAAAATGATGACATCACAAATACCTTCTCAACTACTTAGGATGGGGACACAGTAAACGATCGAAACAGAACAATGTTGGGCGGAGAGACTACTAAATATAATAAGGGAATAAAGAACATTTTAAAACCTATCTCTGTTGTAGCCTTTAATCCTTTCTTTTTTGTTGTTGTGGGTGATAATGATTATGACCACATAGATATGGTCGTTGAATATCCTTTTTTCACTTGGAAACACATTATAGTACAAAAATGTATCCAATAATGTGACTGTACATTCTTCTATTACAGATAACAGAGTTGTTGTTTCCTTACAGTCTTGCGATTGCACCTTGCTCTGTTATTGTATTCTGGATTATTATTTTTGAAAAAAATCAATACTGTAATGATTTAGAAGCAACTAACTATAAGATGAAAATATATCAGATGTGCAACCTATATAAATAGTGAAAACAAATTCTAGTACATTCATTACAATTTCCCAAAACGATTACAAAAAACGCCCAAACCAACAAATAAGTAATTGACTAAAACAATACTCTCCTCTCCTCCCCTCTCTGGGCAGGACAGTATCAAACACACCTAACGCCATTCTATGACAAAACCAAAATGGCAAACAAATAACCCCTGTGAGTTTCCATAACTACAGGGATGCAAAGAATGAAATAAACTTGGCCTCTCCACAAATACAAAGGCCGGAGACTGAACCCCAAAACAAAGAAGAAGAAAGAATGGAAACCGAAAAGAAGATAATATACACAAAAAGCCCATAGGAATGCATTGGCTCACACGATGTATTCATGTATATGCGGTAGATACAATCGTATTTGATGGACCATACCGAGCTCCCCAAGGGCAGTTACGATGTACTGCCTTCTTTACGTGTGAGTAAGAATCCGAAACCGGAGTTTTCACGGATTAGTTGAGGAGGTTCAATGTCATTAACATCCACTTGTTGCATTGACTTTGATATATCCTCCACCGTGAATGGAATGCTGCATTTTTATTGATTTCTCGGGTTAGTTAGGAAATGAGAAGGGTACAAAGAGACTGACAACAAATTCTTATCAGGTTACCTCGAGTCATCGTCCAAAAGGAAGGAGCTGCTTACAGCATTGTTTGAGTCCTCTGTCATCATAACCCTCATGTTTGCAATAACCTATGGTTTTGGAAAGAAGAGAATTAGTATCATATCTAGAAAAAAAGAAGAAAGCTGAGTTATTTACAAGTGAAACATACATCTGAAGAAACACTATGAGTCCCATATTTGTCATCCCAATACATTGTGCTGATTCTGTATAGCTGCTGTATACTTAGCACCTGAACCAAAAAAGCAAATTCAATTATCATCTCATAGCAAAAATAATTTAACACGAGATAAAGACAGCTTTAACTGAGTAGAGGAGACTAAATACCGGACAGAGTTCTCTTGTAATTTCGTCTAAGGTCTTTTTTGGCTTTTGATGAATAACCTGAACAAAGAGTCAAAACAAGCAACGTTCACGTAAGCACAATGTAACGGGAGTGCATAAAAGGAGTGGCATAGCATCAACTAAGAATTTTACCAGGAAGCCAACAGCCTGCCTGATATGCCTCAACTCATCCCAAGCTGAGCCAGCATACTGTACGAAAATGAAACAACAATTCCATTTCAAAAGATATAAAAATATTCAAGCGACGAGGCAAAGCGTGACGAAATCTCGGCTTACTTCATCGGTAGCCTCTATACACCACTGCTCTAATTCAGCCAAACCAGCTTTAACGTACTCCCCATTGCTGAATGAGCAACACTCACGGCGAAGAAGAAGACTGCACAAGTTAATGACAGAAATCTTTCTGTCATCCAAGAAAAGTGTGCTTTGACATAAGAAGAAAAAAGATAGATTCCAAGTGAAACATGCCTGTTGAAAAGTTGAACGTTGATGAAGGAGAATATTTGTGTGAATACTTTGCGGACTAAGAAGGGTGGAGCCTGTATCATGTAAACATAGCTTGTAATCATCAGTCATAAGAAGTTAAATTTTTACTTATGTACATCTTTAATGGAATTTCAGACTCACATTGTTTGCTTTCATTAAATTCAAGTAACTGTTTAGGCTTTTCCTAATACTTTGCCAATGGGCAATCAGAGCTTGTTGAGCAACAGCATTTGCTTGTGCTCTCCCTTTCACCAAACTTGCCCTTGATGTCCTTGGTGCCTGTAGCATGTAAACATTGCCTTACACAAAATCGAAAAAATAACGAAACTAAAGCTAAAAAAATTCAGTATATCAGCTTCCACAAAAGAGAAACAACAAAGAACCACATGCATTCCCTTCTCAGTAGCAATAAAAGAAGAATATTCCTGGATGTTTTGGAGGCGATGACTAAGAAATGTTTATCCAGAACATTCAGTTATTAACACAAAGCAACAAAAAAGTTACCTGTATACATAAGCCAAGGAGAGGAGAGATCTCTTTCTTTAGGTTATCTCTGATCATTCCATATATCTTTTCGAGGAATGCAGTAAGCTGCTGCTTGAAAAGTAGTGCAGGGTACTTTGCTTCAACTTGCCTCAAGTCGTCAAGCTTGGTGAGCCCTTGTCTATTCAGAAAAGAAAGTCCAGCACTTTGAGGAGATCCCCTTAATCCCTATTTAGATTGTTAAAGAGGTACACACGATGAATTGATGCTGACATGCCGAGGCAGATAAAAAAATGTCAGAAAAATGATCTGATTTGCAGCTTCTTACTTGTGACATCCTTCCAAATAGGGATGCTGATGTTGTTCTTCGCCTCTGCGGTGTTAAACTCGCTGCTCCAGTTGCTTTGAGTGTACGTTGCAGAAGCAATAATAAAGTGGCTGAATTAGATAACCAATACGCCAAAACCTCATTGTTATCTGGGACCTGTATAAAAGACAACATTTCCAATTGATATTCAGAAACATATCCCCTTCTGGGCTTTAGAAGAATGAAATAGAAAACAACAAAGTATCCTGTTTTGAATGATACGGTCACATAAATGCTTCTGAACAATAAGGCAAGAAAGAATCAAATTACTTCAATGGCTGAAGCTATTGTTTGAATGATACGGTCAAAGACGCTAGTTCTTTCCACTTCAAATGATCTCCAGTGAAGGAGACATTTGTATATGACACATGCAGCAACAGGCTTGTCCCCAGCGTATCCAAGATTTTGTGAGATACACTTGACTAGTAGATCCTGGTTTTCCTGCATGACACCAAGTTTACAACATGTGTTAAGAGAAAAGCAGAGTGCAATAATGCATCATTACAATTAGTACAAGAAATTCATATATCTGATACCTGTTGCTTTTCATTCAGATATTTCTGTGGTTTCTCCTCAGACTCTGGTTCCCGTACAGCAAGAGTCATGTCCTGCAAAAATTTTAGACGATAAGCAATTGAAGAAACAACAAAGTACCCAAGTTTCCTTTTGAACGTGCAATTTAATCAGAAAATGCACTTCCCCTTACCGGTGTAGTCTTTGTTCCTCCATTAAGATAATTTCCATTCTCTGGAGTTCTCTGAACATTGAAAAGAAAAAAAACTACATTAACAAACAGGCCTTCTTGTAATTTTATGAACCACAAAGAAGGAAAACAATTCATGTTGTTGGCACCGGTAAAAGCATTGTTTTTGATCGAGTGGCCATAGTTCTACTGGTTGGTGAAATAGCAAGTGCCTGTTGACGGAGTACTTGAATCTCTGACTCTGAATTGGAAAGCTTCTCTTCTAGTCTGAACAAGAAGCAAAATCAACATGTAAAAGCCCGGAACAAAAGAAACATAGTGATAACTTATTTAATCAACCAACAAAATAAGTCCCTTGGCAGTGGTATCAAAAGTTGTAAGCAAAATGACAGTCAAACTACATGGCTAAGTTAAAGAAGCATGAGACATTAGAATCTGTCCTTTTTCTGTTGATTGCACATCAATATATTTTACGAACCTTTGCACTGATTCATGAAGCTGATCTGCTTTTCTTGTAGCATTTTCAAGCTCTGTGGCCAGCTCGGAATTTCTAGCTTCTGCCTCTGAGAAAGCTTTTTTCAAATTTTCTGCGGCTTGTCGTTCAGCCTGAAGCGAAGCCTGTAATAAAATATGATTTAAACCAACCAATCCGCTTCACGTTATTAAGGATGATCTAATAAGTGAAAAACACACATACCTTTAGAGCCTCCACCTCTGATGTTAATGAATTGATTTTTTCAGTATCCTCAACCAATACAGGAGTCTCCTTAATGACTGGAGGTGCTTCTTCAATTGCTTTCCTTGCAGCCTCCCGCTCTCTAATCACAGCAGCGTTTGCTTCTTCAACTTGCAACCGCATAGTTTGTAAAGCCTCCTGTTGTTTTGCATATTCTTGGGTTTTTGCTTCTTCCAGCTCGGTCTATATTACCAGGGATTATCAATATTATCAATGACAGTGTAAACAAAGCTTGATATCATGCCAGAGTATGGAAATAAACTTACTCTCTGTCGCTTTTCTAGTTGTAAACGCCATGTTAATTCCTCAACACGCTTTTCAAGTTTGTCTTTCGCCTCTCTAAGGGCTCCTGTGTCTCGTGCGGCCTGATTCAGTTAATTGTAAAGGTAAGAACCTGATTTGTTTCATGAAGTTTTATAAAACCAAAAAAAGACCGAACCATCTTAAGTGTCCTCAATTCTTTTCGTGCAACCCTGCTCCTCCAGCCACATTGTGTAGAAAGGGCAGCTTTCTGGAGTTTCTTGTAGTAAGAATGTGCGAGATGACTTCGAAGACGAGCCTTAATTAAAATAGGAAGAACCATCAGATTGCTGATGTAAAAGGAACAATTATGCACACTGACATTTTCTTATTTTCTCAGTTAGGTAAACAAAAATGACCCAAAGAGGTTTCTAAGAAATTACCTGAATAATAGTAGCAGCCTTCATTCGCTTTCTGAACCTGAACTCATTGCGAGCAACCATTCCCCTTAGTGCTGTTTGAACTGTTATTGTTGAATGTCTAATTCTTAAATAAGATTCTCTGGCAATATGTCTTCTGAAAATCTTCTGAATCTTCACCGCTGCTGCCTGGCGTCGCATTTCTTCATAAAGGTTGCATGCCAATTTGCCTTGCATTCAATAAAAACGTTTGAGAAGCTCACC